TCACACCCACACGCAACTGTCTACTCTAAATAATGCTAAATAGAATGAGATAGCAAAACAAACGTGTGTAGTTATTTAAATTCTTATTCAAAAGTATTAGTTAATTTTTATTTTTATTTTGAACTGACAATTTCTGTCCTTTCTTTTAGATATTTTAAAGTGCTATTTAAAACTCCTGCATTTCACATGAAAGCATTAAATATATCATTTGAACAAATTTTAAAGTAAAATAAAAGGGAATTCAGATCCTTAGAAACAGATATTAAATAGCCTGATGATCGAATGACGGGGCAAAAAAAAACTTTTTTACCTTTGAAACTAAAAAATTTCTTATTTATAAATAATTTATTAATACTCAAATTGCTTGAAAGATGATATGTTCCCTACTAATGACAACGAAGTTTTTTGTTTTATCCAGTCATTTATTTGTATTTATTATGTCCGACAATGCAAAAAAGAAAAAAAATGCATTTTGGGCTTCTGAGAGCCCCAGCTCCGCATAAAACTTTAAAAAAAAGAGGGGGTTAAGTAGGATCTGGAGGCTCTTGTCATCTCGGGGCCCCAAGCTACAGCTTATTTAGCTTATACGTAAATCCGGCCTTGTTGCCATCACATTTTTCGAAAGATCTTAAAAGTATCGAAAATGCGATACGTCATTTCTGACCATAATACACGCAATTGTAGTTAGATATTTAATTTAAAAAAATTACTCGCCCACAAGTTTTTAAAATTCGATTCCCTAAAACAAGGGGTTATTAGATATGATTATAAATTGACTACCAATATTTACTTTTTGTAAATAAAAGGGGCAAAACTTCCAAGAAGTGTAATGTCTACATCGTCAGTGAACTCGAAATTTCACATCTCTTGATAATTTGGGGTAAATTATCTTCCAATTAAAAAAAGTTCTATTATCAGGCGTTGTTCTTAATCTGATTTTGGCTACAAAATCGTCGCTATTTCTATTATGCACTAAACCGTTGATAAAAAAAAAAAAATTTATAAAATATACGAAATCGTAAGCTTCATGTATGATAACTAATAAAATAAAAAATAAATGAGATTGTTACGTAATTAGTATTTTCAACATTTATTTAAATCCTACATTTTTAAAATCGTTTAATTCGCAAGTCTATTAAAAAAAGAAAAGAAAAAATTTTCAAAAAAGAAAAATATAATTTTTAAAAATAATAATAATAACCTTTATAAATGAAAAATTAAAGAGTGAATAATATTCCAGGTGGAAGCCAGAAATACTTTCCAAAAGGGAGGAAAACTCCTTGAGGGGAAACACAACACCACTTGAAATCAGTAATTAGTCGACTGGTCCAAGACCATTAAATCCCTCGTTGGACCACTATTAAACAATAATCACTAGTCCGTGGGATCACCAAGCAGGAAAATGATTTTAAGTGATGTATAAACATGCTTAACATTAAATTTCAAGTTGACCAGTGATATTGTTTGTTGACCATTACATACTGATGCATAATGGTCCGAAAGACCAGTAACGTTTTTTTCATAATTTTTAGCACTGCAGAATGAGAGATGCTGTCAGCACCAGTGATAAGATGTTACATTAAATTACTAAATATGGGTTGATACCAAATATTTGAATATCATTCTATACATAATATTATACATTATAGGTAATGCAAAGTACAGTAGGAAATCGATTATCCGGAACGATCGGGACCATCGCTATTCCGGATAACTGATTTTTCCGGTTTTCTGAATCGCTACAAAAAGTCGTTTTTTTTACTGTTAAACCCAACTAAAAAAAATATATTTGGAAATAATCTTGAAAAAAACGAAGTAATACACTAATAATAATTTCCAAAATGATGCTAGGGTAAACATCTTTCAAAAAAGAAAGAAAAATCCTAAANGCACTGCAGAATGAGAGATGCTGTCAGCACCAGTGATAAGATGTTACATTAAATTACTAAATATGGGTTGATACCAAATATTTGAATATTATTTTATACATAATATTATACATTATAGGCAATGCAAAGTATTTTAAATAAAAATGTAAATAGAATCTGAGGAGACTAATATGAGACAAATATTTAATTAAACTACTATAATTTTTAATTATTTGGACAAAAATAAAAAATTCTGTAATGTAAAAAAAAAAATAATTATAATAATCTTGTAGCCCTAACTAGCAAATAAGAAAATTATTAGGATTACATAAGTTTGAAAATGAAATTTATTTTCCCTAAAAAATTAAGATGATTCAATATTTTTTTTTTCATTTTAAATTTGTAAGTAATGTAATAGTATAACTTAAAATAAATATTGCTAATAAATAAATATATATAGCTTAAAATTTTTCGTACAAAATATGAAGAAGAAAAAAACTCATTTTATTGTCAGTTTTTACAATATGTTCACATTAACTCTAATCATGAATGCCTACCAAGAGAGCAAGAGGGAGCATTTGTACATCCTTGAAATCCAATAAATTAAATATTATATTTTGCTTTGTAGTAACATAAAATTATTTTTATAAAACAGCTAAATTTCAATTTTGTTTTTAAAAAATAAGCAATGCGATTTTAGGATCATTTTTAGTTAGCAATCTAATTTATTTAGGTGTTTTACTTTGGATCTTCATTTGTATTCCAATAACACTCAAATGATATTCATTATTGGTATAAAATGTACTTTCATTCATAAATAAAGGGCATGTTTACATTTTGAAATTTATCGCTACAATATATAATTCATTATTACTTATTTTTTTAATTAGAATTTTGGAGAAAAAAAAGTTAGAACTTACTATTTTTATATCATGTTTAATTTAAAGAATTAAAGTAAAGTATAAATTTGGTTAATTTTTTTTTTAATTTAGACATTATTAAAAATACATCTTTTTTCATAAAAATTTTCGGTTTTAGATTAAAGTAACTAAATTGAAACTAATGTGATCATTTGTTACAGCTTTTGCAAAGTGCATAAAAAATATCTTTCAGAAATGCAGGGGGGNGGGGGGGGGGAAATATTGACATGATGTATGAAATATTTTAATAAATATATTCTCTACTTCATTGATTTTTTTAATTAGAATTTTTTCAAACAAAAATTTTTTTAAAAATTAAGGAACACTAGAACTTGTTGTTTCTATATAATAATTAAATTAAAGAATTCAAATAAAGCACAATTTTAATTATTTTTTGTTTTAAAATTTCAAGATATTAAAAGTATATCTTTTTTGTAAAAAATTGTTGGTAACTAAAAAAAAAATTTTAAAAAAACTTACTTAATAGCTTACTTACATACACAGGGTTGCCATTCAAGTCTGGAACAAAAAGAATTCCCTGTGTTTTCCCTGTACACATTATACACAATATATTAGGAGGAAACGCAATTACTGTGCTCTTGTGTGAGTTATATTGGCCTAAGTATACTATTTTTAATTGCTGGGAAAACTTAAAGAAAAAAAAAGGAACAGCTGAACATGCTTAAATAATGCCATAGTAAATGAAATAGTTCAGTATAGCTGAAATATCCCATAGTAATCACTAGAGCCCGGATTTTGATGACCTAAAAAAACTCAATTAATGCCCTTAAAAAGTGCACAAAATGCCCTTAAAAGTGCAAAAAATGCCCTTAAAATGCGAAAATTGCGCTAAAAATGCCTTATGACATGACTTAAATAGAAGTAAAAATATTGAACTAAAACAATGTTTTACTCTTTAAAATTATTATGAGTCGTTTCAAAAAATATAAAGCAATGCAATACTTGTTCTACGTTCATTAAAGTTTGAAAAATATGTTTTATATCCTAAAAAAAAAAAAAAAAGGAAAATATATTGACTCCAAAACATTTTCATTTTGTATAGAAACTTAAATGAATATAACAACTTCCATCTCATAATATTACTAAATATCAGAATTACAGTGGATTATTAATTTTTTTTTTAATATTTTGAAATGTAAACGAGCGTCTCTTGTCTGAAAGCAAATTTTTATACCAGGAGAAGCTTCTTTCAACGTCTACTGATGTTATTGGTGCGTACTTGAAAAGGACGGTCACACTTACTGACAATTCTTCTTCAATTTGAAAAGATGTTGCTTCACCTGTTAATATCCTAGAGATTTTCTTCATTGTTTGGAAGCCAGTGTAATAATAAAAAATTATAAAAAATAATAAAAATTAGAAAAAATTAACAAAAAATTTAAAAAATGCTTTAAAATGCAAAATACGCCCCAAAATTTAAAGAAAATGCCCTATAAATCTCAAAAAATGCTCTCAAGGACAAAAAATGTCCAAAAATGCAAATGTTATCAAAATCCGGGCCTTAGTAATCACCATTTGAGTTATCACCATTTTTTAAAAGACTAAAATAAGAAACAAAATTCCCTTTATTTCCCAGTTTGTAATGAAAAACTCAAAATTACCTGCATTCTCCCTGTTATTTTATGTGATTTTTTAATTCTCTATATTTCCCAGGTTTTCATTGTGGAGAGGCAGCCCTGATACATAAAAAAGTAACTTAATTGCAACCATATAAATCATTTGTTAAAGCTTTTGAAAAGTGCATAATAAAAATATGTTTTTAAAAATCAAAAAAAAAAAGAAGAAAAAAGTAGTACGAAGACATGATATATAAAATATTTTAAGGAATACATTCTTTATTTACACTCCGTTAATAATATATTTACTTTTTGTTTAGTTTTTTTAATTAGAATTTTAAAAAAAAAATTAAGAAACTTATGGAATACTAAATCTCATTTTTTCTATATAATAATTAATTTAAAGAATTCAAATAAAGAATGGTTTTCATTATTTTTTGTTTTAAAATTTAAAACTATTAAAAGTATACCTTTTTTGCCAACGTTATTGTTATAAAATTGTTGGTGATGATATAAAGACATGATATATAAACTATTTTAATGAATGCATCCTGTATTTACATTCCCTTAAAAAAAACTTCTGCAAATGCCCAGATAGAAAAAATGTAGATCTAAAGAAAAAAAACATATCTTACCATTAACATTTGGAATATGACTGTTTAATTTGGATAAGAAAACTGCACTTTGTAGGTCTCTATTATATTGAGATTCTTCAGTATCATCACATAAATCTAATGGTGGAGCTGATGGAGCAACAGCACAAGATTCGCCACTTTTATTACGCCTAAAAATATAATAGTTAAAATAAATATTAAGCCAATTTAGAATTACACATTACATAAAATGTAGATTATATTAAATTGATTGTAAAAAAACTCTTGGACAAATTAAAGTTATGAAGGAAAAAAATGAAACTCCATAGATCATGCTTTTACTGAATTGAAAAAAAATATTTCAGTACTTAAATTGTGAATTGGAAGTTGATGTCTCAGAAAATTTTCATTATCTTTCTCTAGATTATTCTATTCTAGAAAAATCTATCTGATTTTTTTTAAACAGTTAAATACAAATTTTCTTAAGTACGGAATCATAGACTATGCATAGAAATGCCATAGATCATGTTTCTACTGAATTGAAAAAAAATATTTGGTACTTAAATTGCGAATTGGATGTTGATGTCTCAGAAAATGTTCATTATTTTTTTCTAGATTATTCTATTCTAAAAAAATTTATCTGATTTTTTAAACAGTTAAATGCAATTTTTCTTAAGTCTAGAATGACACAGAGAAAATTTACATAGTAAATGAAATAAAATTATGTTTAACTTACATACAAAAAAATTTCTTTAATATATATTTTAAATAAATATACTTTTAATTATACATTTCGAAATTAAATACGATTTTTTCCTTTAATTTTTTGTATTTGCTCAATTGAGATGAGCTTTGGAAATATTTAAGCTATAGATTAATTTTAAAAAAATAATAATAATTAAATTTAGAAGAAAATTTCAAATTTAATTATCTTTTGCATAAAAAGTATATGATATTAAATTGATTGTAAAAAACTCTAGGAAAAATTATTGTTGTGATAAAAAAAATTGTAAATGAAATGCCATAGACCATGTTTTTACAGAATTGAAAAAAAAATATTTTGGTACTTAAATTGTGAATTGGATGTTGCTGTCTCAGAAAATTTACATTATCTTTTTCTACATTATTAAAATCTAGAAAAATTTATCTTATTTTTTCAATCAGTTAAATGCGAATTTTCTTAAGTATAGAAGAACACAGAAAAATTTTCTTAGTTAAATGCAATAAAATAATGTGTAACTTAAATACAAAAAAAAATTTGTAATATATATTTTAAATAAATATACACTTTTAATTATTTATTTTGAAATTAAATAAGATTGTTTCTTTTTAATTTTTTGTATTTGATCAACTGAAATGAGATTTGGAAATGTTCAAGCTATAGATTAATCAAAAAAAAAAAATTAAATTTAGAAGAAAATTTGAAATTTAACCCTTTTATACCTAGAATTTTTTATTTATTCATTCCTAAAAAATTTGAAATTTGAGATACATATTTCATTCTGAACAATAGAACAGAAAAGAAATATGAAATATATTTACATTTAAAAAAGAAAACTAAGCAACAAATACTGGTAAAATATAAAATTTCATTATTTCAAACAGAAATGTAGTATAACCATAAATATCATGAACATGTTTAGAAAACAGAAATAAATTTAAGGCCACAACAAATACTATTTTATCATTTTCAGGTCAAGATTTTTACTAAGCATTCTACAAATTTAAAATGTTAAAAATAATCATTTCAACTAAGACTTAAGAATATAAGAAAAATAGAGAGAATAATATTTGGAAAACAAATATGAAAATTTTAATACATAAATTAATTTTTACGAACAGAATATTTACATAAAATAATTTACATAAACCTTAGCTGCAACTCAACTAAATAATAATAATATTATCAAGAATGGCATTATTAGCATATACATAGTTATTGCAATATTTTACTTTAAAGAACATTTAAATTCAAATTAAATACAACTTTTATTCATGAAATAATTTTTGGAACCCAATTTTTTATTTCATTTACAAGTATTGTGAGGATAAAATGTAAGTAAATCACACATTATGTTAATTTTCTTTTAATTCTGATTGTTCTTTTCCAGAACTTAGGAAAAAAAAGGGGAAAAAAACAGACAGAGAGAGAGAAACAATTATAAATACTATGTTCAGAAATTTAATTTACAAGGAAAACTTCAGGGTTTTTTACAAATAAATCAATTTTCGGTAAATTAACACAAATATTAGTAAAACTAACTATATTATTCTCTATTTAAATGAGCTAAACACTTTAAGTTGAAAACAGAATTTATTACTAGAATTTAGTTATTATTTTATTTATTTTTTCGAATACGGTATTCAAAAATAAATTTCTAGCAATATTAAAAATTTATATGAAAACTTCGTAATACTATTAGTAAAAGAAATATTTTTAATTTTTAGAGATGCAACATATTCTTCGAGATTTCGATAATAAGAATTAAATAAATTATTATAAAGAGTAATTACATAAAATTTTTAAAAAGAAAGCCTTGTTAGCAAATCATTGCGTTTTTAATACAGTGAAACCTCTGATCAAGTGAATGAACAAGAAGTTTTGTTCTTATTTTATAAATATTCCCCTCCTGTATTCCCAGAAAAACCTTTGTTTACTTGATTTATCTGATCCATTAGTTATGATTTCCTATTCTATGACAGGTCATTAATATCTGATATGAAGATCGTAACAAATTATAAATTGCATAACTTACCTAAATCTGCCGGCCATGATTATAGTCAGATAATAAAAATATTAATATTATCAATTTATAAATCACATTTCTCAGAGATTAAGTTAAATGTCCCACTTCAGCCGGAACTTCATCACGCAGACGCGCCTATGAACAAAAACAATCTTTATGAAAGTGCGCAAGCGCAAATCAGCTGTCATGTTGTTATTTATCTTTAATCAAAGTGTACGATGAAACTGCGTGAGAAATATTAAATAACCGGTCTATTTCTTACTTTATTTATTTGCTTAATGCCGGCATATAGTTCTTAGTAAAAATTCAGTAAATAGTTTATTCCAGAGAAGTGCAAACGATTAATATTTTAATTAAACTTTTACTTCCACTTTTATTTGTTTGTTTATTTTGCCGTCTATCACATGTTTATTGTTATCTTAAGTGATAGCGATTGTTAAAGGTTAATTCGACTGAAAATGATATAAATTAGTATCTTTTAGATACTAAAGGCACAAGAATTGGTAATATTTAAATAAGGTAATGTTAAATTATTATATTATATCTATTTTAATGTGTAATATTTTTCTTAGATGTGTTTTCAATATGCAAAGAAATTAATATAATAATAATCATAAGTTTCTCTTCGCATCTTACATTTTAATTTTTTTATTTTTAGACTAATGTACAATATGTTACGAGTAGCTGTTTTACTGTTCTCATTTTCGACATGTTTTGCTCGATTTATAGTTCATCCAGAGGTAATTTTATTTTACTAAAACCTTTAAGGTGTTTTAAAATGTAGTTACTATTATTATTTCTTTCATGTTTATATTTTTCCCTAAAGTCCCCACACTTAGAATCGTGGGCAAAAAAATTTTAATAGTTTTATTATTTTTTTCTTTAAATAATTTAAAATAACATTCATCATTTATGAATTCATAACTTATCTGAATTCTTTGTTTTTGGTTTGGGGGAATAATTTATAATTAACAAAAGGTTTATGGCAATTTTTAAATAGCAAAAATATTTGTTTCTTCTCACTAAAGTTTAAAAAAAAAAACTTTGAAACTTCTAAAAGTGTATATCTTATTTAAAGTTATTTATTCAAAAATGATTGTAGAATGCAACAAAAATTCATGCACAATTTAAATAATTTTGAAAATTCTTTGACTTACTGATGTGGTGATTTTAATTCTGGTACATATTGATTTTAACACTATTTTTTGGTGTTTTTTTCATTTGGTGTGTCATTTCATTAGGTATTTTTTTATTTGAAGCTAAGCAAAACACCATAAACTTTTTGTGATTATGATAATTTCTCCAGACATTTGTGTATATTTTGAATTTATAAATGATAATTGTAAGCTTTAAAGAGAAATAATTGACTTTTCTTTATGTGCTACTAATAAATAAGATTTTATTTTTCTTTTTTTTTTTTTTTTTNATCGGAAGTTCGACTTACCGTTAGTTTCGGTTTTGGACTTTCAAAATATTGTCGGATCATTTAATTAATGTTTATTAATTACAAATCTTCTAAATGCTTACAATATTTAAGATCATTTTTCTGACAAGCCATTTACGATAAGACTGTTTGAAGCACTTTATGATACCCTGGTCCATCGGCTGCAACTTTACTGTTGTGTTTGGCAGGACAAACTGCTTTCAAATTAGGTAGATCACTATGCGCTGTGCATTTATCCATAAAGAGTATCACTTTTCTTCTTTTAGCGAAGAATTTCCGATCCAATTTTCTTACATAGTGTTCAGATAAAACTGATGTCATTCAGAACTTTTTGTTATTGGAAATTATGTTTACTTATAAAGATAGAAAATAAGATATAAAAGTGTATANAGATCAAAAAAAATCGAGTTAAAGGGAGTAAAATTCGAGTAATCGAGAATAATTAACATGAAATTGAAGATAAAAGGGTCGGGACCTCATAAAAAAAATCGAGTTATAGTAATATTCGAGTTATCGTACTTCGAGTTATAGCGAATTGACTGTATTTTGAATTCATAAATGATAATTGTAAGCTTTAAAGAGAAATAATTGACTTTTCTTTATGTACTACTAATAAATAAGATTTTGTTTCTCTCTTTTTTTAAGGCATAACTTGACAATTACTTTATATATTTTTTTTTATTAAAGGTTACAGTATATCCTTACAGGTTTCTCTTTTATTAAAAACTTACTCAATAAGTGTTTTAAGAGGTATATGTTATCAGAATTTAAAGAAAAAGTTTAATCATTAAATAGAGTTTTTAAATTTTACATGTAGCTTGCAAAATAGTAACTATCTAAAGTATATCATATTAGATAAGGGACTGTCTTTATTGTTTTTATCACTTAGGAGGTGAAATTTGTTATAGATAAGAGAGTTTGACTTTTGAATGCAAAATTCAAGCAAGTTACTTGAATAAAAATAAAAAAAACTGATAAAAAAAATTTGAAATTTGTTAATATTTTAATTGTTTATTATTTATATTTTATGTTTATTATTTAATTTTTTATGTTATTTACTCACAAAATGAAAAAAACAATTAAAAAGTTACTTTTTCCTTTTTAAAGTGAAATTTTTAGTAATTAGTAGAAAATAGTTTGAAGCAGTATAAAAATATAGCATGTACATGTATTTGTGATATAAATCACTCAGAATATGCAATTTAACATCTGGTTTAATGATTCGGAATCATTTAAATTCAAATTTCTTACAAAATTGAAATTATTCAACAACCTTTTCAAATTATCAATGGTTTTGTCAGTTAGTACTCTACATGAGAAAATTACAATATGTAACTAACTTATGTAACTGTGTGTTATTATTTAATTTAAGATAATCATTAGCATCTGAGAAAATAAAATCTTATGCGGTTATCTTGGTTATATTTTATAATTAAAAATTATATAAAATGAATTGATTTTAAAAAAATATTGACTTATTATTAATTTAATATTTTGAAATCAGGAAATTATTGAGAAGGAATGTATTAAAAAAAATAAAGTAAATTTTCAATATATTCTATATTAAATTCATGATTTTTTTGTGATTATATTTTTATGGAACAGGTAAATTTCTTCTTCTTCATTGGCTTGACAGCCCAGGATGGGCCCTTGCCTTCCGCAGAATTGAACTCCAGGCTCTTCTACACTTGGCCATAGACATCCAATTTGTGACTTTACGAATATTTAAATCACTTTCGAGGCAGTCGAGCCATCTAAGTCTAGGTCTTCCACTTTTTCGAGTGCCTAATGGTCTGGCAGAGAAGATCTTCTTTGTAATGCGGTTATTATCCATTATTGATAGGTGTCCCGCCCATTTGATTCTCTGAATTGCAATATTTTTGACTACGTCAGGTTCTTTAAATAGTATGTAAAGTTCGGAGTTAGTTCTTCTTCTCCTGATATTGTTACATTTAAGGCCACTAAATATGCTTCTTAAAATTTTTCTTTCAAACACAAAAGCAGGTAAATGTAATATTGTTTAAAATACTATGTCCCAGTATAGGAAAATAATTTTCCAAAGTTATCAAATCTAAACTTCAAACTCTTATAATATTTCGAAAATTTTTTATTAAATTAGAATCTTTTATTTAAAACATTATTTTTTATTTGCAACTAAAAAATCAACATTTGGAGAAAATTTAATTTAATTTTAGATTTGGAAAATAATTAGTCTAATTTTACATTATATTAGTTTTATATTTAAAACATCATTTTGATGTTTCTTTGTAACTTAAATATTCACCAATTTCTATATTCTCCCATTTCAATAATTCAAAATTATTATATTATTTCATTTATTTTAAATCTCCATTTAAAGAAAATGTTATATACGAGAAGCACCTAATTAAGGATTAATGCTTGGATTGTCAAGGACCATCAAATTTGACTAGGACTACCGTAAAATAAGTATCAGTGGTTTCTTTAACCAAAGATTGGTGTAAAAAGATGGTATATTATTTTGGTTTTTCCATTTTGTGTTTCGTCTGTGTTTTTTTCACAAAATAGTATATAGTATAACTAATATAAGCATTACACGTTTTCTTATTGATATTTTTTAATTTAAATTCACTTTATTAACTTTTTTTTTTTTTGAAAAAATATTAGAAATGTGTAAATGGACCAGTGAAAATGTGCATGAATTAGTAATATATTTTAACTACTGATCTGGAAGATCAGTAACTAAATTTCCTCAATTTCTACCTTTGTATATGTTTTGTTATATTTTGCAGGGTGCGTAGCGTTTTTAAGAAGTGCTTAAAGGTGCTTATTTTTGTTTTTTAAAAGCCCTTAAAGGTGCTTTTCTCATTGGGTGTTTTTAAAAAGTGCATAAAATCATCTTTTTCAAAATGATATTTTCCTTTACCATGCTGAATTTCGCTATGAATTAATGCAAAAAGACACAGTTCACATTGTTCTATTCAACGTTTTCACAATTAATTCAAACCCAATCTCTTTCGGTGTATTGTCTGTCCGTATCGTATGAAAACGCCATTCGTTTTACATTATTCAAAATTTCATAATTTTTGACAAATTGTCAAAAACGACGCCAAAAGTTTTTTTTTTTTTCANTTTTTTTTATTTTTTTTGACATGACGGTTAAAACAAAATAAAACCGTCAATTGTCAAAAACTTTCCAACCCTGCCCAATTATGATATTTTTTTTAAAGTGCTTAAAATTATGTTTTGAGTGCTTGAAAAGTGCTTAAAAGGTGCTTATTTTTTGTTGAATAATTTGGCTATGCACCCAGTTTTGTGATTTGTTAGAATTGTAACATCAGTTGTAACATTTGTTTTATCAGTGTTAATAAGTGTAACTGTTAATTTAAATTTTATAGGTAGTTCCATCTGTTGGACGGGCTTGGCCACAGCCTCAACAATATGTTTCTGAATCAACGTATTTCACTGTGGATCGCACTAAATTTTATTTTTCTGATTCAAGTAAATGTGATATTATTGTGGATGCCATGACTCGGTATATGAATATAATTTTTCAGGGATGTCAAAATTCATCTTCCACTTTCCCACTTAATGAGCAACAGAAGCTTGCCATCAAAAACAGTAGCGGAGATCTACCTTATTTGACTATTAAAATTGCAGGATCCTGTGAAAAATATCCTTATGAAAATATGGATGAACAGTGTTAGTAGAAAATTAACTCTCTATTTAAAGAATTTGTATATGTTTATTTCTATTTCAATCCTGTTATTCAAAATACTTAAATTTTTGTTTAACCAAGACTGTTATTTTTAACTTAAAGGAATTTAATGAAACACAAAAGCACCTATGGTTTTCATTGGGAGAACAAATAAGTTTCTGTCATTTTCTATAAAAAAAAAATTAGCAGTTTATTGTGAAGAAACGGTATATTATCTTTTTTTTTTTTTTTTCAAAGTATTCTCTATTACTAGACACTACTTTTTCCCATCTTTCTGGGAGCATTCAGATGCCACGTCAGAAGAATTCTTCATCTTTCAAGGATATCCAAGAATCTAATCATTCCTTTGTTTCTTCAAATTATGTAAATTTCTGCTTCAACTGACCATGTGCCATCAACCGGAATAGAGGATAATCTGAAGGGGCATGGTCTGGCGAATAAGGCCGGTGAGGTACACTTCCCATTGAAGGCGTTTCCAAATGGCAAAACCAATTTTCTTGCAAAATGGACATTCAATGTCTCTTGATATGAAACCCAACTTCCTTGTTTTTGGATCATTCCCAAAGATTTTTAACGATGTGAAATTGCTGAGTCACTTGTAATGTAAGAGCAAGTTCTTTTTGCGTTTGGGATGAATCTTCTTCCAATTCCTTGTCTTAGTACAATTTCTACTGCGTTGGTTATCTTCCACATCCAACTCACCATTTTTAAAGTTCTGAAACCACTCACAACAACTTCTGTCACTTAAAGCAGCGTCACCATATGCTTCTCCAAGCAATCAATCTGCCTCAGCTGCAGATTTCTTCAAATTAAAGAAGTAAATCAGAAGTTCCCGCAAATGGCACTAATTTGGAACAAAACTTGACATTTTTGCACGAAAGCAATTACATAATGCTAATACAGAATCACTAATATTTTAAGATTATGTTGTTGCCAGATGAACAAACTTACAAAAACAACAGTCGATTTCTACATAACCTTCTGGTAGAGCCATCTTGTGACGAACAACGGGAACTTATTTGTACACCCAATACTTTAAGCCTTTCTTCCATTATTTTTAAATTGTTTAGTTATACAAGGTATCTCAAAACTCACACCAGAAGTAATTTAGATAGTATTGTGGAAAATTTTCGTTTCACCCTTTTCAATGACCATTTTTCATTAATATTACTGAATTTTTCATTAATATTACTGAGTTTTATTGATCTATGCTTGATTTCCTCAAAGATGTGATGGTTGTGGGATTGTTACCATAAACCTTTAACCATAAAAAGAAAACTGTGAAGGTCCTACAATGAACAAAACCCCCTCCCAAATTAAACATTACTTAATTAATGAACTAATGTAGGGTAAGTAGGATGTAAATATAAAAAAGTTTTCATTAAATATGTATGTATATAATGAATGAATATATATGTATATGTATATATGTACAAAAAGGAAAAATGGAAAAACGAAGATAATTAAGAAAATCAATAAGCTGTAAGTATCAAGAATTCATAAAATAAGTTCGAAATGTAGAGGAAACTTGGAAAAATTTCAGAATAATGAAAAAAGAGAAAAAGAAATTTATTTTAAAAAATATTAATAGAAGTCCGGAAAAAAAAGATATAATATCTTCCTCATCTCACACATTTATAACTGCAAAAAGGAGTGCTTTCTAATATTATATCAACATAGCCAAAACAAAATATATCAATACAATAGTGTGAGGACTACTAAAAAAAAATTTAAACAAAATAGAATAGAACACATTAAGTAATAAATATCACATAAAGAACAGAATTTAAAATGTAAGGAAAAAACGGAACAAAGTATAAAACTTAATGTATAAAGCGAGAATCTGTCAATCTTATTACAAAAATATTTTAAATCATTCTTGAATNGCGAATATATATATATATATATATATATTAGAATGAGATAACCCCCTGATAACTGATAATTCCTCTCGAACATACAGTAAAACTACACCACTGCTGGGCAGTGAATTCTGATTAGCATAATGAGAAATTAGGAATGACTCAATAATGAAATCTGTTATTCTTCAATGTAGATCTTCATTTTTAATAACTGTTCATTGCCTCAACTATCTTATTCGTTTCATTGGCGAAATTTTATTACACATTTGGTACAAAAGTCAAATCTTGCTTGAATTTTGCGAGATCCTTTTTTTGTTTACTATCCTTTGATTATATTTTGAAATTAATCCTAACCGATAGCCTTTTAATTCAGATATGATAGAAATCAACACCCGAGATTACTTAGGAGCTGGTATATTGTATTCAACAACTGTTTGGGGAGCTCTTCGAGGATTAGAAACATTTAGTCAACTGGTTTATGAAATTCAACCTGGAGTGGTAAAAATACTATAATAAAAATAATATAATAACATACTATAATTTCCTGTAATGTGTTTTTATTTAGTAACTAATCAAAATATTTCCCTTGTAGCATGCAATTAATACAAGTCTCACTCTTGATTTTCCGAGGTTTTCTTACAGAGGAGTACTTTTAGACACGTCTCGCCATTTTGTACCTGTTCCTCATCTTTTGGCAAACTTAGTATGTATGTTAAATACTATCTATTATTTATGTTAATAATTACAATAATATGTTTATTATATTCCACTCTTTTATATTACGCTCTTACCCCTGAACCATCATGACTCAGACTCTACAAAGTACAAAAAATTCACAAAAAAAGTAGTGATTTGTTCCTTGTTGTGTGTTAGTTCGAACCATGGGCCTTTTCTTTGTTGTTTTATGCTGAAAGAAATCAAGCATAATCCAAGATGTTGTAAGTCAATTCTCTTCTCTTTATAATCAGTTCAGTATCCGTTTGGACTTTTAATTATCTTGTTAACACCAAGAAATTTTGTTTGCTGTCTTTGATGTTACTTATTTTCATTCTGTTCTTATAATACCAAGTAAATTTCTTTTCCTACTTCTTTTTATTAATTTAAGCTTTCATAAATATTTGCTCGTAATTTACTGTGGGCTATACACATTAATTTTAATTTTACTCTTCATCAGTGATGTGCAAAGGGGAGTCAAAAAGGCCTATGCTCCCAGGCATCTAATTGAAGACTAAAGGCACTGAAACTTTAAATGCACTGCTAATATTTTTACCGTGTACTTAAAGTTATTAATTGGTCAATATCTTTAAATAGAAAATATTTTACCTAGAATGAAATATGATTTTTACACAAATTTAATAATGAAGTTTTGGATCATAAAATCCTTTGCATTTCAGAAAAAGTGTAAGAGTATTGTGTTATAAAAAATAAATTTCTCTTTTCAAGGGCATTTAATTAAGGAGGAACCCCAGGCATCTAAATACCTTTGCATGTCACGGTTCTTCAGATGAAATATTACTTTTTAAGTGTAATATTATATTTGGAAGAAAAAGAACTCCAATCAACTTCTATTTATCTGTTAATTGGACCAAAGATGTATTTTTTCCATTGTTACTTCGATTGCCTTAAATATACATAGCTTTTCGCCTTTTTACTCTTGTAACCTACATTCTCAATTTCTTTTTCCATCAATAAATATGTTCTTAAAAATTATTCATATCTAATTACAAAAGATGAATGTGCTAATCACTAATACAATTTTTATTTATAATGGAAATCCTGTATATGATTGCCTTAACTACACATAGCTCTTCACCTCTTTAATCTGGTAGCCTACATTTTCAATTTCTTTTTCTATCAATAAACATGTTCTTAAAAGTCATCTCATATCTTCAGATGAAATATTACTTTTTAAGTGTAATATTATATTTGGAAGAAAAAGAACTCTGATCAACTTCTATTTATCTGTTAATTGCACCAAAGATGTATTTTTTCCATTGTTACTTCCATTACCTTAAATATAAATAGTTTTTGCCTTTTTACTCTTGTAACCTACATTCTCAATTTCTTTTTCCATCAATAAATATGTTCTTGAAAATTATTCATATCTAATTACAAAAGATGAATGTGCTAATCACTGATACAATTTTTATTTATAATGGAAATCCTGCATATGATTGCCTTAAATACAAATAGCTCTTCACCTCTTAAATCTGGTAGCCTACATTTTCAATTTCTCTTTCCATCAATAAACATGTTCTTAAAAGTTACTCCTATCTAAATACAAAAGATGAATGCGCTAATTACTAATGCAATTTTTATTGATAACGGGAATCCTGTATATGAATCATAACATAGAATCCATAAAATAATATGACATGTTTAGATATAACATTTTATTTCCTGAGTAACATGCCCTCTAACTAGATTTCTGCAGCAAATAGAAAAAGTTTTTCAAAGAAGCAATTGTAAAAAATGTATTCATTAATTTTATAATACAGTAGAGAACCGATTATCCTGAATGATCGGGACTATCGCTATTCCGGATAACTGATTTTTCCGGTTTTCTGAATCGCTACAAAAGCCGTTTTTTTAGTGTTAAACCCAACTAAAATATATATATTTGTAAATAATCTTAAAAATAAGAAAAAACAATGAGGTAATACACTAATGATTATTTCTGAAATGATGGTAAGGTAAACATCTTTCAAAAAAGGAAGAAAAATCCTAAAATCTTATGAGAGAAAAAAAATTTTTTTTTATAAATTGCAGAAAAATTTGTTGAATTTCATTCCGGTTTTTTGGTTTTCCGGTTTTCTGATTTCCGGATAACGGGTTCTGTACTGTAACAACATTTTTTTACATAATTAAGTGATTTAACTCTTATCACTATTTCATATAAATAACTTAAACATGCCTTTAAAAGGCCAAACAATTTATATTATGTGTTTATGCAGTTGTTTTGAAAATTACTGTTTTAGTTCACTGCAATTAAATACTGCTTCCATTTAATGCATTGTTCTTTATTATAGGATGCTATGGCCAGTGTCAAAATGAATGTATTTCATTGGCATATTGTGGATGATCAGTCGTTTCCCTACGTCAGCAAAACATTCCCTGAATTAAGTGAAAAAGTAATTTATGGATTTCATATAACTTTGTTATTTTTGATATAATTACTGTCCTTTGCTTATCACTTTATAACACTTAAATATCTCATTTAATGATTGCTCCATGCCTTAAAAAAAAATTTCTGTTGTAACGTATGTTTGCATATGCAGTCGAAGATCTTTTATAACTCAAGCCTTAAAAGCTGCAGCTTTGCGTATTAAGGAATTTTGTATTATATGGATTTTAACTTTAAAATTACCTACTGAATATGGCAATATTTGTCTGAAACAGATCAATCTTAAAATGTTATTAAAAAATTTTAGATACAAATACTTAAAAGCACAAAATATGCACTTGTTGTTGTTGTCGTAGACCGTTGAGGCAAGGGGTGTGATAGTTCTTGGTTTTCAAAGACGTCGTCTATGGCCAAGAATTTTACTTCTTCCACACCCATATGTCACACCCCTTTATAGGACGGACCCATTCATGCATCCATTCATTCATCCGCAGGTCCTAATTTTGACCTGAACCAAAGAACGATGAATCTCCAATTCAGTACCCCCAGAGGTTTAATTTGTTATGGGAACTTGGAGGACTTTTTGACCCGACAGATTTAATGTGCACCAGTCACCATTAACTACATGGGGAGTCTTCGGCCAGCTGAATTAGAACTCCCATACTCACAATTGCGAGTCCAGCGCCTTTTTAACCAGGCTATCCCGGCCAAAATATGCATTTAAGTATTTATTATTTACGGAAAAAATTAAAGTTTTCTGCTCCATTAGAACTAGACAAATTGATCGATTTTGGTTTGCTTATCTTTTAAAATTTTAACCTCTTAGCAAATAATAAGACAAATAATATATAAAGTTTATAATTGTTGCTTAGTTTTAGAAATTTCTGAATTGCTAATTTGTGTCGTTTATAGAGAAATTAGACTTATAGAATTGTGTTATATACAAATTAATCGATTTTGGTTTGCTTATCTTTTAAAATTTTAACCTCTTGGCAAATAATATATAAAGTTTATAATTGTTGCTTGGTTATAGAAATTTCTGAATTGCTAATTTGTGTCATTTATAGAGAAATTAGACTTATAGAATTATGTTATATACATCTTCTACTGTGAGAAAATGGTACTACAATTTACTAAACAGTAAAGAAATTATATAAATTGAAATAGTTAAGTCTATGTCTTTAAACTTCCACATCTTTGAAAAGTAGTTATTAAAAATATTTTAGATAATTTATATTATGTGCTATAAACTCTTGTTTTTATTTATTTTCTCACGAAATATTTATTTTATGATTTAAAGCCATCAGACTGCATGAATGACAATAAACTTATTCAACATTATTTATGTGTAATGTTATGCAAAAAATTTTCCAATGCTATATGATAATTTTTAATATTAAAATTAATACCTCTACTATTTATAATAAATTCCTATATTGCTAGATTAGAACCTTAGTAATTATTATAAATACATATTATTTTTATCTTAATTTTTCATTCAGTTTTCTCTTGATATTTTTTATAAAAAAATCAATGTTTTTCACACTCTTTTCATTTCAACAGGGTTCATTTAATCCTAAAACTCATACTTATTCTCAAAAAGAAATTGCCCAAATTATTGAATATGCTAGACTAAGAGGTATTAGAGTTGTTGCTGAGTTTGATTCTCCTGGTAAGTAATTATAAAATTTTAATATCCATAACAATCTGAAATTAAACTTTTTGATATTTTATTACACTAATTAATGTTTGATATTTATTTTTATTGCAAATGACATGAGTTTTCTTATAAACTTTAAGATTAAAACAGTGCTGAATCGACAATGCAAATGTTATTCAGAACCAAATAATTTTTTTTTTTATTAAAAAATTTTTATATTATCGAAATATGGTACGGTTTGGAGTGTAGATGGTCTAATTGAAGTAAATAGTGAAAGCAGGATAAAATTTTTATATTTTTACAGACCTCGAGGTGCAAAATGAAAAGAATGTTATCCAAGTGACATATCAAGTAATAATAATAAATTTTGTATAATGTGATTAAGGATAGGACAGGAACCAGGAATTGCCCAGAACCTACCGAATCAAATGCCAAGTTAAAAATAGTATTTGAGCAACGCTTTGTAGTACAGAAGAGATTATAGAGACATTTTGAAAAGGGAAACTTACAATAGAAATGTCTGTTCAACCAATATTTGCATATTTCATGTTAATATTTAAGTAATTTGGCTGAAGATTTGAGTCCAAATAGTATGTTGGAAATTAAAGTAAACCTGATAGGCTAATGTTTAATGTAATAGAAGAAAGAAAGGTTTAAAATAGATATTTGTGTTCAGTTGTCGTGACATTGAGTAATAATTAGTTATATGCTTGCATGAAAGAAAAAAATAGCCCCTGAGAATAGAAATATTTGCCATCTCTCATTATAAGATTGTATTAATAATAATTAAGTGATTTATTTATTTAAAAAGGGATTAGGAATGATTAAATTTATGAAATAACGGAAATTTAAAAGATAGGTAATACTTAAGGCCTTATAACGGCGTCATATATATCCTGGCTGGATGCAGAAAAAAATATGTTATAATTTTTTTTTATTTTAATTTATCAAATTTAATAAATTTTTAAAAGTTAGGAAAAATGTAATGGCATCACAGTTTATATTATCAGTTTTTTTTTAAAAACAGTAAAAATGTTTCTTCTTTTTTATCTAAAATTTTTTTATTATCTATGGATAATTTTTTAACCTAGACAAAATTATGTTAATTCAATAATATTTTTTTATCTATGAAAAAATTGTAATAAAAGTAAAAACACTGATGAAGGGAATGTTTTGCTTCCATTTTATATATGTTTTTTCATGTTGTATGCTACTAATTAATTGTTCTAATGGCCGTGGTAATTATTTTAGGACATACTATGTCTTGGGGAAATGGCCGACCTGATATACTGACTAAATGTTACACTGGATCCCAATGGAATGGAAATTATGGTCCCTTAGATCCATCCAATCATGATGTTTATGTGTTCTTAAAATCACTCTTCTCTGAGATAGGAACTGTTTTTCCTGAAAATTATGTGCATTTGGGAGGAGATGAAGTTAGCTTTAAGTGCTGGTGAATATGGGCTGGAAATTTCTTATCTTTTCAAAATTTATTGAACTTTTTCTTATAGCATTTTTCTTTAAATAGCTTTGCTCTTTTTTGAAAAGTTTTTCTTTTCTTTTTTTCCCCAAATTTTTAATGCTGTAGGAAAAAATTTTTGTATTTAGATTTCTTATTTTAACTATTTTGTTCATTTATTATGAAAAGCTGATTTAAATAATGGGTGTGTAATTGATACAAAGCCTAGCGAGGTGCACTAAATTATTACAAATATTTATGTATTGTTTATTTGTATCTCGCCCCGCCCTAATTAAGGGCATGCGAGTAATATTGATGTATGTAAAAAGTTGAAAAAAATTCTGTTAGTCTTGGGGTGGAAATGGAGATTTAGTCTATGTCAACCTGTGTACTTGACTATGTATCTGCAATCATTTGTTTTTTCTTACAGAATTATTTTTAATATTGATAAGCAGAATTTTTTACCAAAGTAAGGACTCTGGTGTCACATAAAAACTATGAACTGCTAATCTGCAGCTAAACGAATGTTTACAACTCAAAAATTTCAGAGATTTGCAGGAAAATTTACTGGCTCTGTGTAACAAAACTTACTTACTTTTTTGCTATCTTGAATGATGTAAAATTTTCTAATAATCTCGAGAGATAAAGCAAGTTTCATTCGAAAACACACTATAATTTTATGAAATATTAAAATACTCTGGTTGATTAAGGCTAATAATGAAATTTTTATATCAACAGACCAGATCTAATTGATTCTTACTTGTCTTCTTATTTACTAATATTTTTAGTAAAAATTTCTTTTTAAAACGTGTTTGAAAACATAAAAGATTTATATATTTTTTTATTTATGTTTTAAATTCTCCTTTATTAAGTGTTCAATAGAAACTTTCTATCTTTTAATTTGTTATTTATTTTAAAACAATAAATGTGATAGATTATTGTTTGAAATTATTTTAATGTTTTAAGATCATTTATTCAATTCCTTAAAAAATTATCTTATGACAAAATAACTTTTTAATTTTTCTTCTTTTACTGTATGACTACTAAGACAGATTTTGATATCATTTAGGCAATCAAATCCTGGAATCAGATCATTTATGAAAGCTCATAATATATCTACTTATGCTAAACTGGAGGAATATTACATGCAAAAGTAATTTTTTACATTTTTGTTAACTATAAAATTAAATCCATTATCGATATAAGTTGTATTATTAAAATTGTGTTTTTTTTTGTTTTGTTTTTTTAAATTTTCTACAGCTTGCTGGATATTGTTAAGGCGCTGAATAAAAGCTATGTTGTTTGGCAAGAAGTCTTTGACAATGGTGTCAAGGTTAGAGACATGTTATATTAATTTTTAAGTAAAAAGCAAACACCTATGTAGGGAATATGTTTTTTTTTTCTTTACAGAAAATTTTTTAAAAAATTATAGTTATAAATATGGTTATTGTAAAAATTTCAATAAAAGTTTAATGGAAAAAAGTTAAATGAAAACCACATAATAATTGTCTAAAAAATTTATTTTGCTTTACCTGTCATCATGGAACTGGAGCTGAAACTCTAAATTTCCAATTAATTTCAATGTATCCTACGAACATTCAAGCAACCTGCAGTGCAATGACTTTGTCAGTTAGCCAAGTTGGCGTAATGTTAATTTAACTTTTTCATATTTTGCTTTGTCCCATCTCTAAAACTAATTTAGTAAATGAAAAGATTGTCACTCTTGTTCACTGAAAATTTCAAACAAAATATGTCGTTTTTAAATTATTATTTATCACAGTCAATAATTGTCGAAAATATTTATTAAAGGTATACAAGATTAAACCATAATGTGAAATTATGGAATAATTATTTCAAATATTAATAGTACCATTATAGGAATATAATTAATTTCTAAATAACAAAAACCAAACTTAGTTCACTGTCTTTTCTTTTTTTCATCTTTATTTAAATCAAGAAATTATTTCTCTTTTTTCTGAAGACAACAAAAGATTGAATATTATTTAACAGTCAACCACTATAGGTATTTTACGTTAAATTTTTTTTCTTCAAAATATTATTGTTTTTGACTGTAGATTAAAATAGATACAGTTATTCACTGTGTTTTTTTTTTTATCTTTATTTAAATCAAGAAATTATTTCTCTTTTTTTTTCTAGAGACAAGAAAAGGTTGAATATTAATTAACAATCAACCACTATAAATATTTTATGTTAAAAAAAAATTTTTTTTCTTTCTAACTATTATTGTTTTTGACCATAGATTAAAAAAGATACAGTTGTTCACGTTTGGAAGGATGGTTATAAATCTGAATTGGCTAATGTAACTGGTGCTGGATATAATGCAATTCTTTCATCCTGCTGGTATTTAAATTACATATCCTATGGAAATGATTGGCATGCATATTATCAATGTGATCCTCATGACTTCAAAGGTAACACATATGTTTTTTTAACAAAATATTTGCAGTTTCATTCGATTAAGATCAACTGACATTTTATTTTAAGAAAAGAATTATTTCTAATTCTACATTATAATAAATTAAAAATGTAATAAAAACGATAACGGTTTTAATTTGTAATTTTTTATCCTCACTTTTATTTAGGATTTAAAGTTATATTGGATCCAAAAAGTATCAGGTTTTTGTAGCTGTTACTCAATTGTATTATTTTGTTTTTAACGCCTAAAAAAATGGTATATCTATTATACATGGGCATCTCTACCGTGCAATTGAGAAAACAACGAAAGTGTTTCATGATTGATTCCGAGAAAAGTGACTTGGCAACTATTTTCCTTCTATTGCTATTGATATGAATGCTTAAATAAATTTCAAATAACTAATAAAACAAAATTTCTTTTTGAGAAAGTATTTTTTGCAATATGTAGCTTAGCATGTAAAGATGCCAAATATATAAAAACCTCAATTTTGAATTTTTTGTCACTTACAATGATTTTTTAATTGCACGGCAGATCTCAGGTGTCTAATTTTCAAGGTTGGCAAGTTTGAGATACCTATTATCAATGTGGTCCTCATGACTTCAAGGGTAGTATAATAAATACAAGTTATATATGATTTTTTTAACAAAATATTTGTAGTTTATTCGATTTAGATCAATCTCCATTTTATTTTAAGGCAAAAATTATTCCTAAATATACATTATAAGTGAATAAAATTATATTTAATAAAATCCATGGCAGTTTTAATTTATAATTTCTCATCATTGCTATTAATTGAAATGTAAATTTATTTTCATATGTATTGGATACAAAAAGTATCAAGTTTTTGTAACTAATACTCAGTTGTGTCAATATCAGTTTCATTTTAATATTTAAAATATGGTGCTTGCCCATATCTATAATGCATGGGCGTCTCAGCTATCTAAATTTCAAAATCGAAAAATTTATGATACACACAAGGTATCTGTGCACCTGGAAAGTCATGAAAAGTCATGAATTTCGGTATGGAACAAAATTTGTCATAAGATGTCATGATTTTAACTTTTTTTAAAAAAAATCATGGAAAGTCATGAATTTAGGTAACCGAAAAATCTAGTTTTTAAAAAGGAATTTACCCCCCCCCCCCTTTTTCATGGTGTTCCGAGTATCTGAATTTGTTGCAAAATCCTCACTCATAGTCATATTTTATTAATATGTAAAATGTTTTTATCATGTTCTTTAAAAATTATGGTGTTCTTTCAAAAAATGAAAGAAAAAAGTAATTTCAAGAGCGAATTATCTCTTAAACTTCTGTGATCTCAGAATTTCCGTTTTTATTTTTGTTTTATAAATTTAAAATTCTAGCTGAAGCAAGCCAGTCATTTGCGAATTTTTTTTTTATTCCTAAATGAGAACAGAAAAATCAGGTGTATTTCTTTCCTCTCCAATGAGCAACAAAATTATCTTTAGAATATAACTCTGCAGAAAAGAAGGGGAAAAAAATTATTTGCTTTTGTATTTTTTTCAGCTATTTTATTGCTTCAACTCTTTCTTCACTTTGTTTTTTAAATTTAAAATCTATAAATGTAAAGATGCAGAATATAACAGTTTTGGCTATACCTATCATTTCAATTTATGTTATTATAATGCTTTTTTAAATTTATTGTTGTGTTTTTGTCGGACAAAATAGTAACTTCATTTAGTCATGAAAAATTCTTGGAATTAGTTATGGAAAGTTATGAATTTGAAAATCTACAATGTAGCAGATGCCCTGTACACATTTTCAAAACTCAAGTGTTTTAAGATAAAAATTAACAAAAATTTCTTTCATTTAAAAAATTATTTCTGTTCTTAATTTTTTTTTTATTCATTTATTTTTAATTCAACTAAATTTAAATCGATAACGATGTAGAAATTCATCTACCAAAAATATTTAAAGCTTATTTTTTAGATTTCCCATTATTGAGGGGAAACTAAATGTATGATTAACATCTGCAAAATCTAGAACAGGAGTGGAATTTAGTATAATGACAATATAAATACTTCTCTTAAAATATCTCAAAATGAATTAACATATATGTTTCAAAATATTCACGTGCTGCAACTTGACACACAAATGGGATTCATAAATCATGTAAACAGAACACATAAAATAGTTATGACGAAAATATGACTCAGAATAGTGATCTCAGATCACTTATTAGATTATTTTAGATATATTAATATATCTCAAATGATCTAATATTTTAATATCTGAGATCGTCTGAGATATATATCTGAGATCATAATATTTTAATATCTGAGATTAATATCTCAGATCACTTTAATTTCCACCTCTATCTAGAACTGAAAACAACACAGTTCAAATGCATGAATTTGAAGATTGTTTATATGTGTGTTTAAAAACAAATAATAATAAAGGACACAATATTTTCATGGTTTTTCAATTCATTATTCATTATAAATGAATTTTTTTTATCCCAGTTAAGCTACAATCTCTTTTTATAATTAAGGTTTTACTGTATACCTGGGTTAGGGAATGATTTAAATCAATTGATTTGAATCACCTGATATTTAAAAAATATATAGATTTAAGTCAAAATTATTCAGTATATTTTGTTCAGTATATTTTTATTCAGTATTATTTGTAAATAAATTCTTAAGTCTGATTTCGTTGATATTGAAATTTTTTCCAGAAAAACAATGAGATGGGGTAATGTATAAAGAGTATTATTTGATGTTCAAAACAGTGTATTAAAAAAAGAGACAGTGTGTGTAATGATGAATAAAAGTGACTGGGAACTTATAAATTTTAACTTTCCATTAGCTGTACATAAAATAATTTGCTGTTTTATTTCGTAATTCAACTATACACTTTTATATACTCTAGTAATTATAAAACTTATTAAATAAATAACTTGTGTAAATAAATAATGAAGAAAGACTTGTTTCATCAAGAGAAATTTTAAAAAATAATTTTTTTTTTTTATGGCTTCTAATTTACATTTTTATTTCTTAAATTTGATATCTAGCAAACATAAAGATGTTGATAATTCAAAAGGATGTTGAGTCAGAATAAAAACAAAAATGAATTTATTTATTACCCGATTAGTTTGTAATATTTATCCTAAAATTTTAGCCATTTTAATTTACAAATATTAATGACTTAAATTTTAATATTTTGTTTTTGGATAATTTTCAGCAGGGTTAATATATTTTATCAGAGCTTTAAATGTTAGAAGTTAAAAAAATCCAATTCGCTGCATGTTTACCAACGTTGCTGTTTACGTAATGTTCATTCTCGTCAATATTTATGGTTAACTTTATTTTATGGTTCAATATTTATGGTTCTTTATATATTTTTAGGCAGTGGAGATCAGAAAAATCTTGTTATTGGAGGCGAAGCCTGTATGTGGGGAGAATATGTAGATGGATCAAATGTGATCAGTCGAACTTGGTTGGTAACAGTTTTATATTTTAATCTGATAATGTGTATACTTTTTTACTAATTTTTTAACTTCAAAATAGTTTTCCTGAATTTATACTAACGTTTTAATGTGTTATAATTTTCTAATAACTAACTTTTACTTTTGTATTTTTATTTGGTAAATTTTTTTCTTAATATGTACACTTTTAAAAATATACACTTGTATATTACTTATACGCTTGTATACTCTTATACATAAACTTTTTTTTTGGAAAAAGAAAAGAGTGGATTTAAAATTTTATTTTTAATCAGCTAAATTTTTAAAAATATGTTTATTTTATAAAAAAAAAATGCTTTGAACAAATAATTACTTTTTGCATAAATTAGTTAGAATTTTTAAATATGATTTTAAATTTTCCAGATTATCACTTATTTAACACTAGATTGCCCAAAGAAGTCATTTTGACTGCTTTTTAATTTCAATTAGATAAACAATGATGTTTATAATGGCACAATTTCTTAGAATTTTATGACTTTTATAATTATTTTAATTGGTGATATTTACTAATAATTTGTTTTATAACTGAAAATAATATCAAAAATATTAAAAATTAATTTTAAGCAAATTTCTTTATACATTAGTTATTCTTTCACAATGCAGTCATTTTGACTGCTTTTAGACAATACAGGTATTTCAGTTTTTCCAGTGTTAATACAGAATTATCAATACTTCAATCTTTTATTTATCTCCAAATTTTATTGATTAAAACTGAATTATGTTTTTATATGGATTCATGATTATTTGTACATAAAACTGAATGAACATAATGAATTTCTGAAAAGTTATTCATATTATACTCTGGTCTGGTTTTGCTTTTTTAAAAGTATGATTGTGTTTGCTTAGCTTAACTTATGGTTAAGAAATAAGATTTAATTTATGTAATTTTGACAAAATAATAAGAAATAAGATATCCAATTTTAACAAAAATGAAAGTAAATTATAGATTTAATATGTGCCGTTTCTCAAAATCCAAGAAACTAAGACTCTTAAAAGTGCTGTATGAAAGGTGACACTCTATCTTTAACAGTTTGGTAAAAACAATAAAACAGAAATAAAACATGGACCTACAACCCAAGATAAGTTAAAATGGCTGAGTTGTTAAGGCTCTGAAATATCATTGTGCAGACCTGGGGTTTGATCCAGGACAGTGGCTTGCCCAGCTTCAGATCAATAGGTACCAACTTGTCCGGGAAATAAAGGTGGGTGTACAATGTTGACTACATTGCCATCATCGTACCACTGTTTATAAAATCACCCACCTTGACCCCTCTAACTTACAATAGTCTGTAGCATGTTACACTTAATGCCTTACTTTAATAGTTTGAGAAGAGAGAAGAAAGTTCTCAATAATATATATCTATAAGAGTTTTTAATAAACAGCATTGGCAATTTACTTATTGAAGAAATTTTAATTGCTTTCATTTCTTGTGTGAAATATTTCTTACTATCTTAACAAAATGTTATTAATTCTTTATAAAGCCATGGGAAGAACACTTCAAACCAATTACATTAATTTTTAAAAGTTGTTGACGATTATTTTCCTACTTATGATTTGTGCGGGTTCTAAAAATCAAATTAATGTTATTGTTGTCATCGGCCATTACGGCAGAGGTCGTGTGGTTGTTCTTGTTTTCCAGTGGCGCCACTCTATAACCAAGAATTCAACTTATGCTGCACACATAAGTTCCACCCGTTTATAGGGCAAACACATTCATTCATTCATCCACAGATCATAATTTTGACCTGAACCGAAGAACAATCAATTTCCAATTCAGTACCCCGAGAGGAATAATTTGTTATGGGAAAATGGAGGACTTTGTGAACCGACAGATTTAATGCACTACAGTCACCATTTATAGAACAGGGAGTCTTCGGTCGAATGGATATGAACTTCCTTTCTAACGATAGTGAGTCCAGCACCTTGTCAACCAGGCTATCCTCGCCAATCAAATTAATTAGCAATTTATATGAATTTCTTTTTATAAACCAATCTTAATCCAAAAAATATTTTAACATAACACTATTAGGGATTTCGTAAACTGTATAAAGAGTTAACTAAACCTGCTGGATTCGAAATCCAATTCTGACAAAAGTGAGCCCAGCTCCCTGCCAACCTGGTTATCCCGGCCAATAAAACTAATTAACAATTTATGTGAATTTCTTTTTATAAACCACAATCTTAATCCCAAAAGTATTTTAACTTAATATTATTAGGGATTTCGTAAATCCCATTAAGGGCAAACTAAATATCACTACTATCAAACTTTATTGTAGGCCCCGAGCTGCTGCTGTAGCTGAGAGATTATGGAGTAATATATCTGTGACTGATATTAATGCTGCTATTCCAAGATTGGAAGAACAACGTTGCAGAATGTTGAGGTACAATATTAGTTATTTACTAATTTAAATTCATTTTTTACAAAAACTTATTCAACTTATATTATTTCATTTTTTCATAACTATGATATTTTAAAAAATGAAATAATTCGATGAATTCTCATAAAAAATATTTACTTTTAATTTTCCTTAATTTATATGATTTATGTTTCTAAGATACAATATTTGGTTTTTATTTTTTTTTTATAGCCTTTACTTGAAATTCCATATTTATGTTAGTTAGTCTTTAAGTTACTATATGAAATTGCTACAAAATTTAATGAAAAATAACCTTTTAAGATCAAATTATAAAGAGTAGGAATTTAAAGTTTTTCCTTCCTGTGAAGTAAAGCAGATATTTTCATGATTTCTTTTATAATTTAAACTACCTTTAAGTCTAAATTATTACAGATTTTAAAGCATATGTTTAAGATAATATTCAAAATATATTTTTACCTGCTCTGTTGATTTAAACATTACCATGTTTTATAAGAACTTTGTTCATCAAATTACTCATTAGTAATGTTTTTTATAATTGCTTTTAAATATTTTATTTTAATATTGAATTAATTGATTTCATACATGCACATATTTTACTTTCAGCTAATTATTAAATTGCAATTTTTTTCTCATTTTTTAGGCGCGGTATAAAAGTTGAACCAGTAAGTGGACCTGGATACTGTGAATGTGATTACTTATTGTAATTTTAAAAAATATCAGTTTTATTTTTGTTGATTTTATTTTTAAAAAAAGGACGTGTAAGATTTGAAATTTCAAAAAATTGAAATGAAATGCCAATAATTTAATGTATGCAATTTTTTCTATTTCTCACCATATTGTTACAAAAAATGACTTGTAAGATTGAAAATTTCAAAAAATTTGTATGAAATATTTATGATTTAAATTAATTTGTGTATTTATTAATCATCATTAAGTAAAAATGAATTTTATTTTCATAATTTTGATTCATTAAATATATCTTTGCCAATGAACAATAAATAATTTATTTTTACATTTTTCCACCTTCTTTTTCGATTCTTTTTTCTCAAAATAAAAGCAAGCAAACATATTATTGTAATCTTATATTGATGCATAAGCTGAGAATATTTTTCTATAAAGAGAAAATGATTTTTAAAATATTCTGAGAATATTTTAAAAAAAGAGAAATTGTCAGAAAGGATTGATTTATAGATAACATAATTACAGACTTTAATCTTAGTATTTTCTTCTTTTATTTTATAAATATTTCTTATCTTGAAAAATTAAATTGCTTTGCTCTTCGTAACATATACTGTGGAGCTTGTCTAAAATGTCCAACTTCAGGTTCAGTTAAAAATGGTTTTCTTATTAAATCACTTTAAAATTCAAAAAAAAAAAAATTTAAATCGTAAATATTTTAGTAATAACTAGTGTTCATGCCAGTATGGCGGCAATTGCAGCCAAATGTTCTGCAAAAGTCACTGAAACTATACACATGGGCATCAAATTTGACATCTTTAAATATGTTATGATTTTACTATATAGTACTGAAAATTAGTTTCTTACACCGTATTCTGTGCATTTAAAAAAAAAAAATTTCTCTAATTTTATTTTTCTACCTGTGGTATGGAATTCAAATGGATTTGATGAAAGTATCTGCTATAAAAATGTTTCAATTTAAATGTTAAAATTTCCAATTTACATGTGCTGTGCTTTGCATTTGTGAACCAACAGCATAATTGTTCATCTATAAAACAATTTTTTTTTTCTTTTAAAATTGACTTTATTTAAAATTTTTAGATAATTAATTATAATATTTTGTCAGCTCTTACTTTCTCTGTTTTTGTTTATTTGGTCTCATCATTTTAATCTTTATGTTGAATTTATTTGCAAATATAATTTTAGCTTTTTTTTACTTAATTTTCATAAATACTTATTTTTAATAAACATGGGGTAATGAACCCTATTAGTATTAGGGTGTTATAGGTAGCATTTAATAATTTTTGATGTGTACAAAACATAAACTATGTAATTGTTAGGCTCAAATTTTTTTTCTCAAGTCATGCTACCATGTTAAGTTTATGAATGTAGACCTGCCAACATTGGAGAAATAAAATAACGGAGATTTTACTAGCAACATTTTTTAGGCGCTACGAGTAAAGTTTTGATACATCATGCATAATCATGTAAGTCAAAAAGAGTAATTCAAAATTTGAAATAATATAAGAGATTACATTTAACGAAGTAAAAAATATGTATATAAATCTTAATCTAAAGATGTTTTAAACCAATATTTATAATTACTTAAACTTTTATTTTATAACCATCATTGAACAACCAATCCAATTATTGGGTTTACGACTACTAATGTTCAACTATGTAGCCTTGTAATTTACTACAGAAGACAAGGGAACTCCTGTATCAAGTATAGGGAAAAATTTGCCATCGAGGAATACTTCAACTTTTAACACTCAACATTCTGCAGTACTGGCAATAGCACCATCTGTTGAGGAATAGGAGAAGTATTTTTGCCATCAGCAGATATATTTTATCGCCAAAAGAATTTTTTTTTATTAATTTCTTTAACAAATACAGAGAAAATTGAGAATAAACAGATGAACAGGAGATAGTCGTAAAATACAGGAGTCTTTGTTAAAAAAACAGGAGACTTGGAAGGCATGTAGTCTTATTGTACAACTAAATTTCAATTGCTGGCATGAACACCAGTAATAACAATAACCTCAAAACAGATTTGGTTAACTTTTGAACTGATAAGAACCAGAAGTTCTACTATAAGCACGGGAACACTGAGTGACCATAAAGATGGCGATTGAACAGAATGGGAAATATTTGACTTATTAAAGGACATTTCTTGTATAGAAAAAATTATGTTTTACTTAAGATTAAAATACTGAAATTACTATCTTGCCAGCATTTCCTTAGAAAAGAAAATGTATAGAGAATAATTTAGCAAAGAGGTTATTTTAGGGCATTTAAGAAGTATGGAAGATTTTTTCTTCTATAAATGGTCACAGTTGGGAGAAACTACAGAGTGGGAGGATTGCATCAAAAGTAAGAGCCCGGTACCAAAATTAATGAAGTGAATCTGCAGCACTATTTTCATAAATATAAATTTGTATGCAGTATCGTTGCAGTCAGACAGAAATTATTGCAAAAATTCAGCTTAATCAAACATGCATTTATCAAATTTTGCTAACATAAGGTCTTTAAAAATTCTTTTACATAAATACTTTGTTGTTAACATTTTAGTTATATTTTATATGATACTGAAAAAAAAAATACAGTATAAATCCCAAGTAACAGAAAAAAAAAATATGTTTTTGTTTTTCACGGTGTTCTAAAAGAAAATTTCAGTAACTCCCCACCATTTGTTTTCTTTTTAAAATCAAAACTTATATTAAAAACTATCTGCAGTCTCAGGCTGCATAGCCAGATTTTTCAACAAAAAATAAGCACCTTTTAAGTACTCAAAAAATATTTTTAAACACTTTCCAAAAAAAAAAAATCCTAATTAGGATCTGTGCAGTGATAAAAAATATTTTTTTCTTTTGATTAAAGTTCTTAATTTTTGAACATAAAATCAATAAAATTCAAAAACATTTTCACAAACTTCACATAATCATGATAAAATAACTAGTTTCTAATGAGTATTGCAGAGAAAATTGTGAAAATCATGTATTTTTTGTAATTTAGGACGACAATCTACACGGCAAAGAAAAAATCTCTTTTTAAAAGATAGAAAATAAAGCATTTTTAACAAACCCTGAATAAAAAAAAGCATCTTTAGGGGCCTTTATAAAATGTAAATCAAAAATTAACACTTTTTAAAAATCCTACACACCCTAAGTCTGTAATAATCAGCAATGCCTTCTGCTGTGCTGTAGGGTTTCTGCTACAGGGAATAAGTGTAATAAATTTGATCGTTTTGTGAAAAATTAAATATAAGTTTTAAATGGGAAAATATCTAATTTAATGAGAAAAATAATTTAATTTAAATGTGATAATATAGACTCCTCTGTCAAATTGACCTATTCCCCTTAACATCCAGTCTTTTATTTTAAACCAACCCGAGTATGATGGAAATGGAGATTGTCATAAGTACCAAGCACCAGTTAAGCTTTATTCCTAGTACGCTACACAGAACAGCTTGTAATTATTTATCTATAAATCAGAACTTTTTTTAATGTCACTTTTAAAATTTATTTTCAGTAAAAAAAAATTTTAAAAAAACATGTCTAATTGATTACTTTCATTTAAATTACAAAAAATAATTTTTTGCTGAACAGTAATGTAGCCTTTAAATAAAAGAACTATTTTTTTAGTTATCTCATGACTAAGTCAAGTCAAAAGTTTTCTTTTGTTTAAGACACATAATAGTTTAACAAAAACTATCTGCAGTAGAATTAGGTTTTTCTGCATTGTGCACCTAGATTTGAAAATGAACAATCATCTTATAGTTTGTCTAGAATAAGAACTCTCCCAGACATTCATCTGGACCTCTGGCAGTAATTATGGTAACGAGATATGACTATTTGAAGTAGGGGTCGCTGATTTGGAGTGGTTTCGGCTCAGGTTAGCTGGCGAGAGAAAGGGAATCTCTTTCTTCAATCTATTGTGTTCATCCTAGCTAGAGAGAAGATACCCTCCCTAAAATGCGCCGTTCTTGCTTCCATAGCACCAGGCGGCCTCAGACTTTGTGGCAGGAGGAGTTCTTAGCTTAGACAAAATATACTTCCGTTCAATCTACAAATCCAGTATCTTGATTTTTTGCTACTTAGTTGATTACCCTTCCCACTGAAGGCAAGATAGGAGAAAGATGAAATTATCTACCAAAAAATATATGTAAGCAATACTGAACTAGAAAAGCTTCTAACAAAATTAAAATTTAGTACACTAAAAATTTGGCCAATCAGAATGTAAGGGAGTCTGCAAATTCTGAAGACTAAAACACCAAAAACCTACATTTTTAATATTACCTAATTTTCAGGAAAAAAATAAATATACAGGGTGCATAGCCAAATCTTTCAACAAGAAATAAGTACCTTTTAAGCACTCACAAAATATTTTTAAGCACTATATACATTAACAAAATGCTAAATAATTTTCAAAGACTTCGGTTCGATATCATAGGGCGGAAAATGAAGCCTGAATTTGAGAATAATCTTGCAAAATGCAGCAGAGCTGCACATGAGAGTGCACTAATCTCACCGAACCCAGCTCAGTCTAGGAACAAGCAAAATACAAGTATTTTATCAAACATGTAAAATTATTGGAGCTTTCATACACTATGAACCGACGGAATGCCAAAACAGATTGTGGTTTAATGAATTGTGAAAACGTTGAATAGAACAATGTGAAAAGCATGCTTTTGCATAATACGTGGTAAAAATCGACATGGTAAAGAAAAAAAAATCTCATTTTCAAAAAGGGAAAATTAAGCACTTTTTAAAAACACAACGCACCATGATATATAAATATATTTAGAAAAATTAAAATGGTAGTTACATTAATTAATAAAGATAAAAATAAAAAAAAACCGAGTGGTAGACTAAATACTTAATTTTAATTTAGTGAAGTTAAAGGAGATGGGGTATTTATCAAGAATTTATCTGTATTTTACTTTGCATTTCAATTAGTCTTTAGAAGAAAAAATTAATAAATTTCAGAAAATTCAGGTTACATGAACTTTCCTGTTATGTATTCCAGATAGCCCAGCTTTTAGAGGAATAAATGCTGATGTATCCAACAAAAGATAAAATGGTTAAGAGCAAGCTCAGAACTTAGTTTGCAAACCATATAAAATGAACTGCATAAGCTGTTCTGGAGACATAAGAGCATACAAATAAAATAAATAAATAGAAATTACATCAACTACAAGACTGTGCATCCTTTATTTTCATTCAATTAAATAAAAATTCACATTTTTAAAGCAAAGAAATTATAAAAAAATTTAAATTAAAAAAAAAAATTTAAACTAATTTTTTTTTTCAATTCAAATGCAGAATCTGGCAGAATATGTAGTGCTTTTTGTATTATTAAACTTGTAATTTAAATATCATAATTATTAATGTTGTATAAGATATTTTAAGCTAAGTCTTTTGTTTTAATTATCAATAATTAATTTTTATTTGTCAACATCTTTCAGATAACAATTTAATGCATAAACTATATTAACTCTCCAACAACTAGATTTGCAATGAAGTATAAATTTTTTTACATGAAAGAAGCATTTCTACTTCAAATAACTCAAGAAACTAGTGTAACACTAACGTTAAAAGGACAATTAAACAATACAATATTTTCTTAATATAACAGAACTTAATTAATCACACTACATAATTATTATAAAAAGGACAAACAATTTTCTTTTAAAAACAACAATCAATCAAATCATTAAAATTAAACATTCTAAAAAAAGGTATTGATGTTTAGTAAACATTTTAAACTAAAAGAACTAGTTTTGCAAATAGCATGAAATACATATCTTACAAATATACATGACATATATTACACAAGGATAAATATTTTAATATAAATACGTAACAAATATTTTAGTAAATGCAATTAACACTCCAAGTCTGTGATACAACTTGTTACAGTGAATATACAATTTTGTAGTAAGTAGACATTTTACAATGCTATACATATAAAGCGGAAGCAAATAAAAAAAGATTGCTACTTAACTTATTTTACATATTTACAAAATTTCAATGAAAATAATTCATATCTGTACACATTTAATTAACATCAATTGCGGTTTAATTGCACAACAGTTAATAGAATGCCTGAAAGAAAATGAACATGTTTTTACAAAACTACAAAAAAAAGGACATTATTTTATAGATTTTCTGCGATTTTGGTAGGTTAAGGAAGACTGCAGCCGCCTGTTTTTGCGTTTGAAGTGTTCATTAAAATCCAGCCTAAAGCTCAAAAACCGAAGATTCGGATCGTCTTGGTCGTTCAGCATGATCAAAAATTTCTGTACAAACTCCTCGTATTTGCTAGATAAAATTTTCAACTGCCTTTTGGTATCAGGAATACGCTCGATCAATGCATGAAGGGGTTCTGTATATTCTTTTTTTTGTTTTTCAGTAATACCCCATTCATCTTTAGAAGTTTTCATTTGAACTAATTCATCCATTTCATTCAACTTTTGAATAACTAAATTCACTTTATCCCAAAACTTTTCTTGAATTTGATCAAAAGCAATAATTTGATCATAAATAGACTTCAACTGAGTCCTGAGGATGAAGGAGTCCTCATCGAGGAGCGCCCGAGATAGCAACATATCGAGAAAATTTTCGTGAGCGGCTATAACCTGGTCTAAATCTTGAGCTGATGATATCTTCAACAATAAATCGGCCCAGCAGCACTCCATTACTTCAAATGCCATGTAATATTGCATTTGTTGCACAAAATGCACCATTTGCGATAGAATAATATGGCACTGATACAATACCGGAGTTATTTCAGGTACTCGAGCTTGGCACTTAAGATAGGAAGAGCGTGAGTGAGATATTTTGCTAAGAATATATTCCATTCTTTTAGCTCTCCAGAGAGTATTAAACAACCTATGATATGAATTCATTGAGTTGGCGGTAAAAACCGTACCAATAGGACCATCGACGTGGTAATCGAGGCAAAATACATCCCAACCCACATCACCGACATCGACTTTCAGCAACCTCACATCCAGACGTTGAAGCACTTCCGGATTATGAAACTGGGCGTTAGTAGCACGAATGGCGCTTTCTAATATTCCAGTTAAGTTATGAATATACAAATTTTTTCCCGGTTTAGCGAGATCATTGTCTAAAAGATCCATTAGATGTCTAATAAAATCACCTTGTCCTAGCAAAAAGTAGTTTCTCATAGCGAGCAAATGATCCATCAAGTCGTATTTATCGTGCAATACCTGAAGAACGGTTTTACTGGTTTTAACGTAATTCTTCTCCAAAATGTTTTCAAAATTTGCGTCTTTCTCTTGAGAGAACAAAGATTCCGTACTCAAAAGTTCCAGAGCCTTAATTTTTCGATTTTCATCTCTGACGAAAGTATTATCTTGGCACACTTGATGTAAAAAGTTAATTGCTTTTCCGGTAGAGAGGATCTTTCTAGCTTGATCCATTGTAATAAAAGATGGAATCATGGCTTTGTTCAGATAGTATTTATCCTGCCAAAGATTTGCATCTGGTACTGCAACGTTAGCTGCCACAAAAAACTCACCAAAAGTGTCTTCTAATTCTCCACAATATATCCAATTACTTAACATCTTAAATAGTGGTCGAGTTACGTCGCACAGTAAATTCTGTATAAGAGATCGTACGAATTGATCCCCATGCTGTAAATGAGAATATAAAACGGAGGCTAATTCGCCTCCTTTTTTCTTTCTACATGCTTCCACGACAGATGTAAGAATTTTAAGCTGTGTATGAGGTTCAAATATCCACACTGATAATCTATGCAAAGTTAAGCTGTTGGAGTTAGTGTAAGTTTGATTTAAAGCAACTTCTTGAGTTAGCAAGGATTCAAGTTCAGCTATTAGTTTGTAATACTCAACCAACTTAGACTTCAATGCTGCAACAAAACTTTGAGAAATTAGACCAGATGATTTTTCATTATTAGGATGTTTACAATAATCGTCGACCTGGCAATACATCCACCCCAGCTCCAAAAATCTCAAAGTGATCCGCTTAACCGGATTTGGAAAGTCTTCCTTGAAAGTTACCCGAAAATCTTTCTTTTCCGGTTCCCAATGAATTATTTCTCCTCTCAACCCTTGCATTGCATACAAAACATCATGCAGCAACGGTTTTAAATTAGACAAACTACAAGCAATAGATCCTAAATTTGAGTCATCAGATCTAGCTGTCAAAGCTCTTTCTATCAACGGATCAGGCTTCCCAATGTTAGGAAGAGAACTTTGTTTATCCAAATTGGAGAATAATGACGCAACTCTAGTATGTGACATATCAGTTTGTGGTTTAAAGTTAGACTTATTGGCACACGGATGAAATAGAAGATCTGACATTAAGTTATCTGTATTGTGATTTTTAAAATAATCATTTAAATCTGGAGTGTATGAATGAGGTCTGTTGATTCTTTTTACCAAATCACGTGGGTTCAATCCTAAATCGAAGTCTGTAAGACCAGGTTTTGAGATATTATTCTCCGACTTGGTCTTTTCTTGATCAGAACCGTACAAACAATATAAAAAATTGAGGACATTCTCCCTATTTTTTAAAATTTTACTTTTTCGTATACTGTGATGGAGCTTTTCAAATTTTAAAGCATTTTCAATTTTATTTTCGATCATAAATTTTTTCTTAATTTTGTCAGATACTGAAGATTCATCAATATCGTGATTATTCAGAGAGCAACTTAAAAGTTCCGATGCATGTATGGTCTCACGTTTGACAGATTCAGGAGGTTTCTTCAGAATATGGCTCACTAATTTTTCAACAAACTCGTTTGATGAACTATTAAAACGAGAGGCCATATTACATAAACGTCGCAATTAGTTTAAATAAAATTTTGCCGTTTAGATNCAGATACGCTCTATGATTGGTTAAAAATTTGATCGGTAAGATAGCAAAATGAATTTTACTGCGCCGATAATCGGTGCAATAGACACTCCGTAAAAGAAAAGTAAACACCGTTATTAAAATCCGCGACAATTTATGGTTACGAAAACAGTTAAATAAAATTATTTGACTGTAAACTTAATTACCACGGTTACGATCAAGATTATTCTCGACTACACTTCGATGTGAATTACGGGCTTATTATTAGAACAAACAAAATAAAAAAGATTTACTCACTTAAAATGAATACTTTTTTCAGCTTTTATGGATAAAGTATCCAGTTTTCGTCATGTTTATAAAATTAAATGATAAGAAACTGAAACTAAAAGTTGTATTCCAAGTGTATGGCAACTATCTATTACCGAACGTAAGCAGACGATTCCGGAATGCTGTCAATAAATCCTTGAAACAACATTTTATTGGAGTGAATTGAGATTTATGCCTTAGGGATAAGTCATTGGAAGTAAAATTTCTTGTTAAGAAAAGCTATGAATTCTAACAATTACGAAGAAAATGTACGCAAAAAATTTCATTTGTTTTTAATTCATTTTTATTTATATCTTACTTTTATATTTATATATACTCACTTTTATAAATACTAATATTTTAATATTTGCTATTACAGTGCAATGTTGATGACGATTATATCTACCCACCTGAAATTTTGAAAAAATTAGACTACAAGAAAAACTACGTGAATTTCAATCCTCCTATTTCTATATTAAACCCTGGAGAAAATTTAATACTAAGACCTCTTTGTCTAAATGATTATAATAAAGGTAATTTTTCTTATTTATTTTATAAATATTGAATAAAATGTCATTGTTAAGAAACTGCTTTGATGTGTACCAGAATTCTCTCTTTGCTAAACTGTAGGTTTTCATGTCGTTATATGTCTACACTTTTAAAAAATATGTAAAATAGATACTGCATTATATTTTCTGTATTACTAAAAATACATGTCTTATGTCATGTTTTATATAATTCACCTATCTTAGCACTTCTAAAAATATGCTTTACAATTTTTATGTAACTGTAGGAAAAATATTTGTGTTACTGTAATGTTTTTTTTTTTATTTTAAAAAATGATAAGTCAAAAAATAAGTCTTCTTTTATATTATTTGTTTTCATTCTTTTAACACTGGTTGAAATTGTTATAAAATTGGTTATTGCAATAAGGATATTAATGAAATACCTAAAAACAGTTCAGTTTTCAGATACAAAATATTTTTTGAAAAAAAATCTATTTTATGTATGTTATTAAAAATAGATTCTACATTTTTTAAATATTTTTTTTATTGTTTTATTTTTATGCTCCATTCATATGTGTCTTTGATGCATGAGACCAATATTGTTTAATCAAGTGCTGTTGCAAAACATAAAAAATAATAATAAATTAGCAAGAAATAAAATAAACAGTTGAAATAGATCTTAGATGTTATTAAGAAAAAGTATTACTTAAAATATTTTTTTTCTTAGGTTATTTAGATTTATTAGCTCAACTTACAAGAGTAGGAGAGGTGTCTGAACAAACATTCAAAGGTATGTTTAAAACTTTAAGATTAAGTTATAAAAATATTCAATGTAGAAATTTTTACTTTTTTACCAATTAATTTAAGCTATTATAAAAATAAAAAAAATTTCATTGTTTTTTTTTTAGATATTTTTGTATTTTGTACTTTATCTATAATAGGTATTTTGTGAGAAAATGTTGTAATTATTTTCTCAGGCCAAAAAATTAAAATTTTTGCGCTATTTTTAAAAAAAAAAAAAAAAAACAAACAAGCAAAGTTTTGCTAAAAACTTTATTGCTCTTATGATTTTTCAACTGATTTAATTAGGCATAACTTTGTCATGCAGGTCATTTGTTTATCATATCAAACAAATTTTGCTTTCTTATTAAGAAAAAAAAGCTTTATTTGAAATTAAAAGGTTATTAGAAATTTATCTATTTTAGCATTTTTTTAATTTTCAAAAAATCTGTGTATATATATATATATGTATACAGTGGAACCTGTCTAAACTGACCACCCTCAGGACCAAGTGAAATGGTCACTATATAGGGGTGGTCAATTTATGAAGATTCTTAAAAGAGGACTCTTTAAATAAAACTTGTAGAAAATGGTCACCTTACTCATGTGCTCACTTTACCAAGGTGGTCACTTTTACAGGTTCCACTGTATATATATATATATTTCAACATTTTTCGTGAATAAAATTTTACCAATTTGTCTTACAATAAATAATAAATTATATAAATTCCGTCATTGAATGTCGTTTTTATGGGATGGCTGCTTATTTTTACTAAAAGTGCAAAAAGGGAGCATTTATAGGGATCCAAGGGCAGGCAGGGTGGGTGGCCCATCTAATAACGCGTAGGGAGAGCACTGGTAATTGCTTCCATAAATTACTTAAATTCAAAATGATCCAATAGTTTTCTAGTTCAACTACTCTTTATAGCAAAGCTCATTGTGAATATCGTGATATACTTGCTGTTTAATTTGTATCTTTATATTTAACAGAAACATTCCAAGAAATGAAGTCTGCAAAAAATAGATATTTCATTACTGTTATAGAAGATTTAACTACGAACCAGATTATAGGCACTGCTACATTATTTGTTGAAAGGAAATTTATACACTCTGCTGGTTTGGTATGTATTCATATTTATAGTGAAAAGGTAATATAAAAAATTAAACAAAAGCATAGTTAAATATTATTTGCAATTATAAATTAACATTTCTACTTGTATGCTTCATTAAAAGGTAATTCCACTTTTTATTATTGTCGTATTAGCTGGCTTTAAAAGCATGTAGATGTAAGCTTTTTTAAAGTCTGCAAATAGGACATTCCCAAATGATGGAATTGTCTTAAAATATAATATACTGTATTTGAGTTTAAACATTTTTAAATGGAATTACGAATAATTAATGCTTACCTAAATCACCAGTATAATTTATTAAAAGAATGAAAATAACTTAATGAAATTTGAAAAAAAATAATTGAACTATTCATTAAGAATATCAAAGAATAGAAAAATTCAAAGCCACACCAGGTTCAGAATATTAAAATATACAGTTGCATTTTTCGGATTCTGTTGAACTGCTATAGTTCATAATGAATATCAAAGGATAGAAAAATTCAAAGCCACATCAGGTTCAGAATATTAAAATATACAAATAAGTTTTTCGGATTCTGTTGAACTGCTGTAATTCATAATGAATATCTAAGAATAGAAAAATTCAAAGCCACATCAGATTCAGAATATCAAAAAATACCAATACATTTTTCTGAATCACAATTAGAGAAATCTTCACAATCTAAAATACGGATTTATATATTTTTAATTCATATATATTTTGTTTTTATCTATTTTTACTTCCTGTATTTCAATAACTTATTTTTTTCAGTGTGCTAGTATATTCATTATCTCATTTTTAATCATACTTATGTTGTTAAAACCGAAGTACTTTTTTAAAAAATTTATATTTCATTAAAAAAAATGTTTTTATAGAGAGGAAGATTAGAAGATGTTGTAATCAGTAATGACTATAGAGGCAAACAATTGGGTAAATTGTAAGTATGCAGCAATTTTTAATTCATTGCATTCTATATTAAACGATTTAACAGATTTAAAAAATAGATTGATTATATTTAAAACTTATATTTATGCTGCCATTTCATTAAAAATTAAAATTTATTAAAAAAATTAGAATTTTAAGTATATATATCGAAGTGGAGAGGGAATAAAATTGATCACACTAATTTCTTACTACCAAACTTTAATATATTTGATAAGTTGTAAGTATACTATAATTTCTAATTTATTGTCTATTTAATCTTTACCTAATCGATTCGGCAAAATAAGTATATAATTTTGAATAGCTATAATTGATTGGCACGGTGGCATAAGAGCAAAGAAAAGCCTATACTGCAATCTAAAATAACAAACCCATTGAAATTTCTAATGCCTTATGTACACTAATTACTAATGTTAATAGTCTCTTAATAAAAAAATTAATTATGATTTCTTTAAACAATTAAGGTAACAAGAATAATTTGGCTGAAAAAAATTAACCCAATATAACAAATGAAATTTATTTAATTTAGTCTGGAAAAAATTTATTTTTTACCAAGAAGGAAAAAGAGAGAGAAATTAAGATTATAGTAATTACTATTTTTTTAAACTTCATTAAATCTTTTATTTTTAATGAGGAAGAAAATAACATTTCTGCAATAAACTGTCAAAATCTAAGATTTTAATTTAAAGTAACAAAATGTTAAAGTTGAGTAAAATGTTGTCTTTTACAATGTCTGTTATGATATGATATACCTAAACTTTGGATGGCATTAAATTATTTCAGGAAAATATTTTTTTTTAATTCAGAGCAGTGTGATCACATCATAGTAACTCATACAAAAAATTTTAAGCATGTACAAAGTTGCCTACTAGTACGCTTTTTTCAAAATATTTTATGAAGTGGTAAACAGTTAAAAACTGAAGTTTGCTGAATTTTTGGTAATTTTGCACTACTATTTTAAAAGCCTCACCACAAGTGAGCTGGACATGTGGCTTTTCAATCATTCACATATAGTGGTGTGGAAAGCAATTTTGAATCAAATTTACAAATCAAAAGAATCATACATTAAAACATAAACTTATCTGCCACTTGAAAATAGTTTTCCCAAAAAACATAGAAAGTTAGCAGTCCTGTTTGTATAACTGTGGTAGTATATTTTGCAATACAGCTGATGACCATTTAAAGAACTCCTTTCATTTCATATTTAACTTTCCTTTTATAGCATTAAAATATCAGTTCATCGAAATATTAGCAAAGAACCAAGTAAGATCAGTAGTGTAATCAGTTAACCCTTCAACTCCACCTTGTGCAAAATTGTATTGATATTTCCTAACTTCACACATTTTCCTTTGAACAACATAGCAAAACTGGTTTTTTGATTTAGGAAGTCGGTAATTTAAAATTTTGAAAAAGCCCTGATTGATGATCAGAAAGTTAATATACAAACATGGTATTATACCTTGAAACGTTTAAATGTCTCTATAAACAAAATATAAGTTTTTTTTCTCCATACAGTATAGGCTAGATGTATAGAGTACAACATATTACAATAAGTCCGCTATTATAACACGTTTCCAAGACATTGACAAGATTATTATGTTAAAGAAACAAAAATTTTATGTTAATTACTTGCTAAAAGTTATTAGTCTCCATTATTGCAACAATTTTTTGAGAGAGATTCTTTTTTTTTTAGAAACCTTTATTTTTTTTCGATTGCTTAAGTCAAGCAATATTATTTCAAAAAATACAAATTGGAAGATATTTTTATTAGTTTCTGGTATCAATATAGAAAAAGAATAAAGAAGCATCAATTCATCATTATGTTTAATCTTTTTGATTATGAAGTTATGTGTGGGCAACCAACAACAGAGTTATCTTCTTACAAAAAAATGTGCTGTTTTGACGAAGCCTGTTACACACTTCAAAAAAATTAATTAAAAAAATTTTTTGACCACGTACCTACAGTGCAACCTTATTTCTCTTAACAGCTTACTATTGGAATCAATATTCAAAACTATTGCATTTCATTTAATTTTTTCTTGCATCTTGCTTAAACTACTGATCTACAATCTGTAAAAAAAAAAAAGCAGCCCTCTCTAATTACGATACAGCTAAATCGAATTAGTTATTCAGAATAAAAGGAAAAGAGATAAATATGTCTATTTAATCTTTTAAAAAAATTTTTTTGCTGTTTTATTATAAAATAATTTTGTTTATAATGATGCAGTAAAAACAATTCCTTTTGATATTAGAATTTTCGTTATAGCGAACTTTTATAGATAAATTCGAAATTTTTCTTTCTTTTTAGGGTTGTTATCACAATAAGATTGCTAGCAGAACACATAGGATGCTATAAAATGTCGCTTGACTGTAAGGACAAAATGGTGAAATTCTATAACCAGTTTGGTTTCATTTGTGAAAGTGGCAACAGCAACATGATGACTATTAGATTCAAGGAGTAAAGAGGATAATTACGGGTTGTTATTTATTATACCACACTATGATGAACAATGAGAAACATCCTTGCGCACAAAATTGAAGGATTGTACTTTATTTTTATTGTTGAAAGTCATTATTTTTCTTAGTTGATTTGCATTTATTTTTCTTACCACTGTTTGTATTAGGAAGTATTTTACAACAAATTACTGTACTTAAATGTTTTTGTTTTTTTTTTCAAAAAGTTTAAAAATATTGGATATTAAATGGTTGTTGAAAGTAATCTGATTTCATTACTAAAACAAAAACAAACAAAAATACATGTTTCACACATTACACAGTTTCGAGAAATTTAAAGAAAAAATTAGTAACCTACAGTTCATAAATTCTGTTTGGATAATATTGTTCATCATACTCTTTCTACATATTTGAAGAAAAAACGCTATTACAATTTCTAGATTGTGTTTGGAACAAAATCTAAATATCATATTTTACAATTTAATATATAAATAGTACTTTATCATGTTTAAGAAGGTAAAAGTTGTTTTACTATGAATTTAATAAAATATTTATAGGAGCATTGCTGATAAACATTATTTTGTGAAAATTTTATATAAGATGTTTAATTAAACTACTGTAGAAATAGTATAAAAACTAAGAATAAATTTTATATATCTTCACATGAAAGTGAGGTATTTATTAATAGCCTAATTATATAAATTTTCACTTAAATGTATAAATAACGCTTGTTAGTAAAAAGTTATTTATAACAGTCTAATACTAACTTTAAATGCCTTTTATTTATTTATTTTTTTAATAATTCAGTTAAAAGAAAAGCTTTGATTTAAACATTTTATTTTTTTACTTTGCTTAGTATAACAATATACATTAAAAAGTATATATCATTTTTTATAAGCAAGATAAGTAACTTTACATGAGCCATTGCTAGCTTTTTGATATAATAGTGTGAGAGGCTAAAAAATTTAAATTTTAAGACATTTCTAATTTTTTGGTATGTTTATTTTGATTTCCTAGAGTTTGATAGCATTAAAAAAATTTATGAAAATTTTTTTAAATTGTCTTAAATTTTTCCCGCTGCATATTTTAATTTCAAAAAATATAGGTTAACAAGATATATACAAGTTTTTAATTGTTTCATAAATAATATATTACCTCAGATAGATATAGAGTGAGTCTGAACAAGACGGCAATACTTTAATGGGTGATAGATTTCATGTACTCGAGTAATATTTGTCATAGGATCTATAATCAGAATGCAGGCAATGACAAGTTCAAAGGTAGTTTTCCACTGTCACATTTAAAGAATAAACACAAGACTGGGAAAAGATGCTTCAAAAAAACTTTTTACTCATTATAAGAATAAACACAAAAATGGGAAAAGATGCTTCAAAGAACTTTTTACTCATTATAAGAATAAACACGAAAATGGGAAAAGATGCTTCAAAAACTTTTTACATATTTAAAGAATTAACATAAGAATGGGAAAAGATGCTTTAAAAAAACTTTTTACGCATTTAAAGAATAAACACAAGAATGGGAAAAGATGCTTTAAAAAACTTTTTAATCATTTAAAGAATAAACACAAGAATGGGAAAAGATGCTTTAAAAAAACTTTTCACACATTTACAGAATAAACACAAGAATGGGGAAAGATGCTTCAAAAAGCTTTTTACTCATTTAAAGAATAAAGAGTAGAATGGGAAAAGATGCTTCAAAAAGCTTTTTATTTATATGATTGATCTACAAAGAAATTGCTCAAAAGAAAACAATTTAATTGATGCCCAAAGAATTTATTGTTATCACAAATGTATATCACTCTCAACAGTACAGATGTGAAGCCTGCATTGCAGCTGGCGGAAGATCTTTTTAGCAATTCTTCAAACATCACTTACATCTTTTCTTTTTTGCAATTTCTTTGTACATCAATCATATTCCCATGAATAAAAAAATTTCTGAAGCATTTTCTTCCATTCTTGTTGCAATTCTTTAAAATGAAAAACTACCTTTAAATTTCTCACTGCTTGTGTTCCATCATACGTTCTATGACGAATACTGCTCATGTAGATACGCTCTATCACTCAGTAATTTCACTGTCTTGTTCAGACTCACCTTGTATTGTCATCATAATTTTGTGAATTGATGTCTTGTAGAATTGTATGAATAAATGCAAGATACATTTCTAAACAGTATTTAATTAATCAGTAACAAGCTCTTTAGGTATTTTATACATTTCATAAGCACATTTCTCTTTAAAAGAATCATCCTTATGGCATCCGATATAATCTATTTCTAAATGAAACGGCCCAGGTACTGTAGCAGCAGTGATACCAACACTGTTGACTTTATTGAGAGGAATCCTTTCCTGTCTGTCTTGTATGCGACCCTTAGATTGCATAAAAAATTTTGAAAATGGTATCTAGAATAAACAACATTAATAAAATTAATAATTGGTTGAAAAAAAAGACTTTAATATTTATACATAATAGGCTCATGGTTACAATTATATCAATGAAAGTAATATTTAGCATGATAAAAAATAAATTACATAGTATGATGTTAAATACAAGATACAATAATCATTGTAATAATTATCTAATACCGAACAGATATATTATTACTAAGGCCCGGATTTTGATGACATTTGCATTTTTGGACATTTTTTGTCTTTTAGAGCATTTTTTTAGATTTATAGGGCATTTTTCTTTAAATATTGGGGCGTATTTTGCATTTTAATGCATTTTTTTGGTTAATTTTTTCCAATTTTTATTATTTTTTACCAATTTTCATTCTTACACTGGCTTCCAAACAATGAAGAAAATCTACAGAATATTAACAGGTGAAGCAAAATCTTTTCAAATTGAAGAAGAATTGTCAGTAAGTGAGACCGTCTTTTTCAAGTACACACTTATAACATCAGTAGACGTTGAAAGAAGCTTCTGCAGGAATGAAAATTTTCTTTCAGACAAGAGACGCTCGTTTACATTTCAAATTATCAAAAAAAAATTTATAATCCAATGTAATTCTGATATTTAGTAATATTATGAGATGGGAGTTGTTATATCCCTCAGAGTTTCTCTACAAAAGAAAAATATTTTCCTTTTTTTGTTATTTTAGGATATAAAACATACTTTTCAAACTTTAATGAACGTAAAACAAGTTTTGCATTGCTTTATATCTTTTAAATGACTCATAATAATTTTAAAGAGCGAAACATTTTTTAATTCAATATTTTTACTTTATTTAAGGCATTTTTTGTGCAATTTTTGCCCTTTTAAGGGCATTTTTTGCCCTTTTTAAGGGCATTTTTTGCCCTTTTTAAGGGCATTTTTTGCACTTTTTAAGGGCATTAGTTGAGATTTTTTAGGTCATCAAAATCCGGGCTCTAATTATTACTTTACTTTATTTAATATACAATGATATACAAATATATTAACACATGATAGTATACTAATAATCCAAACAAGCCGGGGATGTAACTATTAAAGATAACCAGGAATCTCCAAACTATCTAGCTCAAGATGGACACTGACTCTTCCACTACGTTCCAAGGGTCAAGACATAGCCATCAGACGTGTTATTTAGAGGTGAAAAGGGTCTTCCCCCTAGCTTTAGAGAATTAAGAAAAATTGTCATGTTTCTAAAGGAATGAGAGGTTATAATGGCACTACAGATTTATTGAAATTTATAATCTTATTTTGTTATTACAAGAAAAAATTAACCCATACTTATGTCCTTTTAGCAAAATACTATTTGGTTTCAATCCTAATTTAACAAAAAATTGCATTTGCTCTATATAAATCAGTTGTTGCGGTTCTTTAAATTATTATTTTGTAAGAAAAACTTACATATTTATAAATATAATTAAGATAAACTGTTACAGGTAACGCCAAAGTTGAACCGGCTAAATTTAGCCAATTTGGTGCTGTTCCTGAGCCAGTTTTATTCTACAGGCTACACTCTGGGAACCTCTATACTGAATAAAGAGTTATAAAAAATATAAGGCTGGCCTGCAGAGTGCGAAATAATTAGTACAAATTTTGTTGTACGTTTCATAGCATTATAGCTGAATAACGAAAAACTTAGGCGAAACTATTTTGTCTAAAGATTAAACAAGAATTTTTAATTATTTAGATAGATGCAATAACAATTACAGAGACTCTGAATACTATTAATTTTGATTGGACTGAGGAGAACTTTTAAAAAAAAAAAAAAACTCTAAAGAAACAGATATCAATCTTAAGAATATGGAAAAGAAAAGAAAAAGTGGGACTATTTTCAATAAAAGCACCAGCATAATAGCATTAAATCTAACAGTTTTGCAAATCAAAAATATTTCAGACTCATGTTTTCTTGCCTAAAAACCAAACTTCTTTTGTATTTCTACCTTCAGAAAGTGCATCTATATAAGAAAACATTCACTTTAATTTCTTGATTAAATAAATAAAAAGATGAGGGTTAGACTTATAAACAAATTTAAAAAATTTAAATCTTGGGTTTTTGTAAATTTTATTGTTTGCATTGTCTTTTCTCATTCTAGAAAAATAGTTTATTTTATTATATGGGTGAGAAAATAAAAATTTGGCAAGTTTTTAAAAGATATGCTTTTATGATAGATACTATGTCACTGACTGAGCAGTAAAAATGCCTTTAAAATCCTGCTACTGACACTATGACACTCTCCTATAAACATATTTTTAACATAATTGAACTGGAATACTTCGATTAAATGATCATAACTAAATAAGTGAGATTAATTGCTTACAATTATTACAAAAATAAATTGGGTAGTGCATTCAGCTCTTAACCAAAAGGCTGGTAGTTCAATCCCAACTGGTGATAACTACATTACAGCATATAAAAAAAAAATTTCAACAAAATAAAAAATTCATGTTAGCATAATGTAATAATGTCTACACTATCTTTAGCATAAATGTATTTTTAAAAAGTGGCATGTATTCACGAGTGATGGAAATTTTAAACAAATTTTGATTGAATGATTATAACTAAATAAATGAAATTCAATGCATACAATTATTACAGAAATAAACATTTAGATACTTAAGGTTGAAATTTATCTTTCATACAATTAATTTCTTAATTATCTGAAATGTTCAATTCTGAAAAGTACCTTCAGCTTACCAGAAAAATCAAAATTTGACTGTCAAATTAATAATTTAAACATTATTATTTAGGAGCCATAAATACAACTGAAACTTTAACAATTTAAATAGTAAGTTATTCTTACTCTAATTGTTTCCCAGTAGGGACCACCACGGGTGTACATAGGATAAGTAAATGTAGAGAACCAGGTGACATCATAATACAGTCCCAAGCCTAAATTAATAGCATAACCTCTTCCATCACCTTTTACCCTCAATTCTAAATGAGTAAACCAATCCCAAAAATAACAGTCCTCCCGCATAAAGGATTTCTGAAACGAAAATAATATAATATTAATAGTCAATTGTTTTGTAAGATGTTGAGAAAAATTTATAAGAGAGATGTAACAGGATTAATTGAGACATGATACTTTATTAAAATCATAAAAATAAAATAAAAAAGAGCCTTCTTCAAGATGATAAATAGGATATTGCAGTTTTTCTAATCGTTCATACATATAGTGTTGGTTAGAAGTCGCACACATCAAAGTTTAAACCGTCCACAAATGTACCATTCAAATTAAAGTATAAGAGAAACTAATTGAAATGATGACTTTCATTTTATACAGACAATTTTTAAATATTAGATGTGTAATATCATGATCCATGAGTACCAAATTGCATTTATTTTACTAGAATGCATTTAATATTTTCAGACAAAAAATCACTTTTCATCTACAAACAGATTTTAAAATAGCAATTATAAAAGATAGGAAAAATACCTCATATTGTTTTTACAATCACATTTTACATTATTTCATAATAATTATAGTTAGTAGCAGTATATATAAAAATGTTAAGCTGTGAAAAAAATTCCAAATTATTTTATTGTCTTAAGAAGATTTTATTTTTTCTTCTGTCTACTAAAAATATCTCTAAAGACATGAAATAACAATATTTTTTAAGCCTCCAAGAAAGACCACTAACATTTATTTTCTACTTTTGGGAGGCTCAGATTTTTTTTTCCATAGACTTTGTGTTGATTTGTTGTTATTGTTGTTGTTAATTTACGTCGCACTAGAGCTGCACAATGGGCTATTGGCGACGGTCTGGGAAACATCCCGGAGGATGATCCGAAGACATGCCATCACAATTTTGATCCTCTGCGGAGAGGATGGCACCCCCACTTCGGTAGCCCAACGACCTGCGCGGGAAGTCGAGCACTTTACGGTAGCACAGTTTAACGAGGACCAATACCGCACACCCTCGGTCCCTACGCAGACTGATCCAAGTGGTCACCCACCCGCACACTGGCCGCAGCCAGTGATGCTTGACTTCGGTGATCTGCTGGGAACCGTGTCCTAACGATCAGTCCACTGCGGGACAGACTTTGTGTTGAAGAAAACCTTTAGGAGAGACCATTAAAATTGCTTTTCAAAAAAAATTTTAATTGAAAGAAATTTTTAAAAAACTGCTTTTTTATTAGAAGAGAAGATTGTGTTTCAGAATAGGTTTGTTGAAAAAGGGAAAGATGAGATTTCTTTTCTTTTTTTATTTCTTGTTTCTAGAAAGTCTTTTTTGTACTTAAAATTGTTAAAAGAACGAAAAAATTACTGTTTATTGGTTGCAAATAACAAAATTTCATAACCATTGCTACTTCCAGGAATAAATTAATTTTAAACAGATTATTACGGATATTCTTAAAAACCATAATTTTCATTACTCAACCATAAAACTGCAATCCATAATCTTAAATATGAATTTGTAATAATTAAAGAAAAATCGTAATAGTGTACGCCCCGGTGTTAATGTTGATTTACACAGAGCTCATTCTAGGCAGAAAAAAGGGCAGGGTGCAGAAGTTTAAAAAAAGGGCATTATTATTCTAAAAAGGCAATAATTTCTTTCTATGGTCTTTACACGTTCTAAATAATTATGATTTAATGATAGTGGAAGTAACTGTAAACTTTCAAGGACAAGTGCAACAAGGGAGTGTGATGGCTATTTTTCCTTTCCAAAATAAATCGATGTATTGACAGCAATGACAAACTAATTAAAAAGAGTTGAAAATAACAAAAATTTAAGAAATCCATAGTAGAGTTTGGGGAAAAAACAAAGAAGGGTTGAGGGAAAAAAGCGCAAAAAGGGTATGGAGTCTATTATATCAGGGCACTAATTTACTTCAGGGGCAACAGGGTGGATTCTTTTGACTAAAAGGGCAGTAGGGTGCTGCGCCCTGTTTACCCTGCCTAGAATGAGCTCTGGATTTACAATATACACAGAATCAAAGAATTAGGATTCAAACTTTAGATTTACTTTGAGGATTTGTAAAAGTAGAAGATAATAAAAACTCAAACGATGAAAATAGTATTTAGCTTTTTATTCTCATGATTATTAACACTAGGGTAATATCATTACTTCAACTACTCTCACGACTAATGTATGAATTTCCTCAATAGGTACGAAAGATGATAACAGTCTTGCAAGCACAAAAGAAAAATATGTATTCACTAGAGGCCCAAGTTTTTTTATTAAACAAAACCTTTAGAGCAGTTTAAAGAAAGATAAAGAACTAGATGAAATTCTTACCGTTTTTCTAGTAGACTTGATGCCACAATAGCCAGCAAACCTACTCTTTCCATCCTTCGGAGGAGTGGTGTCAATATTACCATAGAAAACTCCTTTACCTTTATCATTTATAGTGAAATGACAATCACTAAAACCCTCATTATTTATCTTGTCAGAGCCAACACGCCACTTTTTTAAACACTCCTAAAATTAAAATAAACAGATTTACGTTATTAAACTGTGATACACTTAGTAAAACCAAAAAAAAGAGTAAATAAAATCATAAAACATTGAAATTAAAATTGAAACACTTTCATTATTAAATTTTTATTAAAAATTAATGTACTTTTTTTATCAATTTTCTTTTTCTTTTTTTTAAGTTCAAGAGATTTTAGTAAATATGTTGCAGTTTTTTTTAACACTTTTTATAAAATGGCATTTTCAATTGCTGTTAAAATATTTGCTTTTTTTTCACTGTTATAAGGCTGCAATTAAAAATCTTGAAGCCCAAATGAAAAGTCAAGAAAAAAACATTTTTTACTTCTAGATGATAAAATTTTTACATATTAGAAAATTTCTTAATCTCCCAATACAAAAATTATTATTCAAAAAACAAAATCTTAGATGAAAATTATATTTTTTAAAAAACATGATTTTATTATAAAATAAAGCTTTTAAAATGCAAGCTGAAATTCAATGTAACATTATTTTTAATTAGGTAGAGCGCAGTGATGGATTAAGCGTACCATTCCATACCTTAGGCCATTCAAATTTTTGGGGCCCTTAGAACAATTTTTTTTTCTAATATATTTTTTATTTATTCAAATATAAAAGTATTTATATATCTTTCATTTACAAAAGCATACTAAAAATTAAAATAAATAATAATTAATTTAATTTTACTTTATTTTGTTAAATTAGAACTAAAAAATAATCATAACATATTTGAAATTGATTTTTTTTTAAATCATTGTTTTTCTTAATTTTTAAAATTTATTTTCAAAAAATCTATTCTAAGGGGGCCCTTAATCATTGGGGGCCCCAAGCCCAACGCTTTTTGCTTTTATAATCATATAATGTTAATATCTGACAAAGGGGAAAGGATTTGCGATATGCTAAAAGGGAAAGGTATTAATAATGCTTATGTAAAACAGGAAAGGATTATTTTCAAAATTTTCTTAAAAGGCAAATTCACAGCCTTCTTAAAATGCGAAAAAATGGAAAAAATTTTAAATGTAAAGTAAAAATTGAATTCTGGGATAGAAAAATTGGAAAAAATTTCTTGGTTGAGTTTTAGAGGTCAACACAAGGGTTCCTCAAGCATTCTGCTCAAAATTTTATAAAATGAATTAAAACATAAACTTTGTCTAACACAAAGTTAGATCATTTTATTAGAATTTAACCTTAAACATAAATTACTCCAGTAAAAGTTAAAGCAAATACTAAGGGAGAGGGAATAAAAAATTTTATAAAGTGTAGTGTATCTACCACTACAAAAATGTAATTCCAATTCTCTAATATATAAGACATGAGTCACCAATGTGGGGCGAGGAGTAATCGACTATGTCAACCGTCATCTATGAAAAGGTACCCTCCCCCCACAAAATCAAATTAACATGTCTTATATACTAGAGAATTTCAATTACATTTTTGTAGTGGTAGATACACTACAGTACTCTCGATTACATACAATGTATACACACGACTGCTAAATGGCATAACAGGAGCGACCACGACCGTGGACTTAATACAGCTCTCACGATCAACACTCAAAAAAGTATGTTGATCTTAATACAGTTCTCCCGGCTTCTCACAAAGCAGCAACGAATTAACTAGTGGTATCTATTCATCGAATTCTATCGCAGATAAAATTCTGGTGGGGGAGTACTGTAGTAGTGTATCTACCACTACAAAAATATAATTCCAATTCGCTAATATATAAGACATTGTCGATAACAACTCACTCCTCACATAAAGCATTGTCTAGGAATGGCTAAAAATAATTATTTTCAAGATTCTCTCTTCTGTAATTATTTATTAATTTATTTTTATTCTAATTAATTTCTGCCTAGTTGTCACTAAATTTTGGCAACTGATTTAGTATGGAAATCTTATCATAAACAACACAAAATGCCTTTTCATACTAACAATACAAATGCACAGAAATAAATACTGTTAGCAAGGAAATATTTTAAAATAAAAAATATCATTTCAGCAATATAGATCCTAATAAGTATTTTATTATGGAATGGGGAAACATAAATGCAATAAATACTATGAATATTTAACTACATACATACTTTATTATCAAACCTAAAGAAAACATCTGTATCGCCATGCTGATAAAGCTTCCGATCTTGACGAAATTTTTCCTTAACTTCATCAACCCAAAGTTTACACTCCTGAACGAATATCTTGCGACCTTCTTTTATATGTTCTTGCCATGGTTTGTCATGAATTTCAGGTGGAATTGTTCCACGACGATACTGTTCAAAAAATCCACGATTAAATGCAGATGATTGGTGAAAGTTTCTACAATTACAGCTGGTTAAAGCATTTTTTAAAAACTTTAAATTTCCTTTTTTGCAAAGCATTATTCTACAATCATTATTATAATATCCCCTTATTATAAATAAACGGTTATATAGGAAAGAAAATCTAAAAAAAGAATCTGATGATAGATTGTATGCTTCTCGGTGATTTTAATTAAGATTCACAAGTACAAAATATTTTCATTATTTGACTTATGTATGTTCTTGATTGCTTTATTGATTGGATTGATTGATTGATTAAAACGACTTATCTTTGTTCAGCTTAACTACTTACTAACTTATAAATTTAAAATAAACTATTTAAAGGCTTATTTGAACTAAAGCAAATAAATTTAACACAGGTGGAGGCATTTTTATTTTCAGGACAAGAGCCAATAAATTTTTAAAGTTGTTTGTTTCGCCAGATTTTGGTAAACAGTGTTGTTGTAATTTGTTTACGTAACACTAGAGCTACACAATGGGATTTTGGTGATGGTCTTGGATCCGAAGACATGCCATCACAATTTTGATCCTCTGTGGAGGAGGTGCCACTTCTGCTTCAATAGCCCGAGGATGTGCGGTAGAACACTTTAACGAGTTCTAATACCACCTACTTTCGCTCGCTCCGCCGGCTGATCAAAGTTGTCGATTTCCCGCACACTGACCTCTGCAGTAATGCTTAACTTCGTTGATTTGCTGGATACCGCGTCTTAACGATAAGTCCACTGCGGAACTTGAAAGAGTAACTTTCAAACATTCTAATGACGATATTGAGCAGATGGCGTTGTGGTGATTGGGCAAAAACTTTTTCTAATCAGCCTAAATAGGACCAAGGGAGCACGGTATCGTTCCTCTTTATCTATCGTAAAGGGCTCAACTTCATCCGAAGGTCATCGAGCTGCCAAAGTAAGGGAGCAATCCTCTCTTCTGAGAATCAAAATTGTGATTGCATATCCTCGCATTATAGTATCACTTTGAGACTTATGGTCTAAATAATTAAGCCAGAAACCTGTTCAAAGATTTGGCTCCATTATTTTCATTTATTTTTGCATTTTGTGAAGATTCAAACTCAGGAACTATTACCGACTTTGAGGAAATTTTGGATCTTGCCATCCTTTAAAATGATATTAGAAATTGTGTCTTAGAATTCAACATTTTCCCCATTTTTATAATATATAATAAACTTTTTGCATTATCTTTGAATAAACAAATTTTGCAATTCCGTGCAAAAATTTTTCAATTGGCTTAAAAAAATTTCGAGATATGGCGAAATACGCATGAAGTAAAATTAGCATTAAGAGTACAAACTTTGGGACCACTGTTCTTACCATATTTCCACGATTACGATTACCCCTATATTTCGGGCGCCACTGGGACCGTGTTCAAATGTTCGTGGGTTAGATCCCAGCCGACCGAAGACTCCCCGTGTATTAAATGGTGACTGATGCACGTTAAATCTGTGGAGTCGCGAAGTCCTCCATGTTCTCATAACAAATCAATATCTCTGGGGGTACTGCTCCAGGAATTTCCTTGTCTTCTAGATTGGTTCAAAATTACAAGGAAACGGAGTTGAACTTTAGTAGTAGTAAACTCAAAATTGGGTCGACTGTTCAACGACGGATATAAAATATATTTCGAGTTCAGGGGATAGAGCATTCGTCTTCCTATGCTGCGTACCGGCTTCGAATCCCAAGTTGATACGAACGCCGCATCCGGCTTGCACCGACCACAGTGCTGACGTGAAACAGTGCTCAGTGGTAGACGGATCATGAGTTAGAGTACCCATGCCGTCAACCTAACCGCGGGAGGTTCTCGTGGTCTTCCTCTCCATGTAACGCAAATGTAGGTTAGCTCCATCAAAGAGTCCTCCACGAAATCAAATTTTTGCCAATACTCGATCCAGGAGTTCCCTTGTATTCTGGATTGGGTTCAAAATTACGAGGCTTCGGAGCTGAACATCAGTAGTCGTAAACCCATAAAATTGGGTCGGCTGTTCAACGACGGTTTTAAAATTAAATAAAAATATTTTGGGGAAGGCCGGGATAGCCTGGTTGTTAGGGAGTTGCCCAAGAGTTCGTGGATTCTATCTCCGTCGGCCGAAGACTCCCCGTGTAGTAAATGATGGTTGATGCACGCTAAATCTGTCGACTCATGTTCCCATAGCAAATCAATACCTCTGGGGGTACTGATCCAGGAGTTTCCTTGTCTTCTAGATTGGCTCAAAATTACAAGGATACGGAGTTGAACATTAGTAGTCGTAAACCCAAAATGGGACCGGCTGTTCAACGACGGATATGAAATATATTTTGGGGATGAGCCGCGAGGGTTTAGGGGATAGAGCATTCACCTTCCAATGAGGTGAACCGGGTTCGAATCCCAATAGATGCAAATTCCGCATCCAGCTTGCAACGATCTTAGCGCTCAAGTGAAATATCCTCAGTGGTAGACGGATCACGGGTTAGATTCCCCTTGCCGTCAGGCTAACCGTGGGAGGCTCTCGTGGTCTTCCATGTGACGCAAATGCGGGTTAGCTCCATCAAAAAGTCCTCCACGAAGGCAAATTTCTCCTAATACTCGATTCAGGAGTTCCCTTGTCTTCTGATTGGGTTCAGAATTATAAGGCAACGGAGTTAAACATTAGTAGTCATAAACCCATAAAATTCTCTTGGTTATTCAACAATGGTTATAAAATATTAAAATAAAATATATTTTGGGGGCACTGAGCCCATGTCCAAGAGTTCGTGGGTTCGATCCCAACCAGCCGAAGACTCCTCATGTAGCAAATGGTGACTGATGCGCATTAAATCTGCCGAGTCGCAAAGTCCTCCATGTACAGTCCGCAAAAAAAAAAAAGATATCACCCTGAATAACTTCCGTTCTAATGATCGGATTTTCACGAACTAAGTGTCAATCTTAATGGTTCCCGAGAGTGACCTCAAATATGCTAATTAATTTGTGCTAACTATTAATTAAGTTACGAAATCAGACACAAAAACGTACTTTCTCTGAATAAACATATATTTTTTTTTACATATTTGGATTTTTCATCTTCAAAATATAGGGAGTAGCCGCAATCTGGGAAATGTGGTCCCCATAGTTTGGTCAGGAGAGCGATTCAAAGTTCGGGCCCCTTAATGTTAATTTCGCTTTTTGCGTTTTCAGTCATATTTT